CTATCTGTATGTGTGTTTTGTGGTAACATGCATGCTGCTTTAATCTTATACACACATTTAATTTTTAAAATTAAATTTTAAAATTGCAGCAGCTGATTGCTGGCGATGAAGACCATTGTAGTGGACTGTGCAGTGCGTCCCTTCACTTAGCTCACACTTATGTTTCACTTGCACTGAAAAACCAGAGTCACTCTCTCACACACACACACACACACACACACACACACACACACACACACACACGTGTGTTATATGTATGTGTGTGTTCCTGCAGCTGCTTTGAGCCTGTCAAGCTGACCGTCACTTTCCAGTGATGTCACTGACTTTTAACCCACAATGCATTTCTCTCTGGCTGGGACTCAGTACTGAGCTGAGGACAGGTTTTGGGATGTGACGGCTGCTAATGGGCATCTCTGCTGGACACTGTTGGCAGGGACAAAACAGATCTTCACATTTCTGTTCATGCTTTATGTTCTTTCCTTTTCAGCCTTCTGTAAATGTATTATTACTACGTCATTACTGTTTGCATCTTATCCTCTTATTGGACTGTGTCTATTTTAGCTTTTTCCTCATTTTTAAAAAACAGTATTTGTCTTGATGTGGATTGGTCTAGATGTTTCATGTCTTAAGGGAAGCACTTTGAACTTGTTGAAAGGTGCTTTACAGAAGCAAACTCACCTTGTGTATTACTATAGGTCATGTTCATGCATCTACTGGCTTCTATTCATTTCTGTATGTCATATACATACTCTTTTTTTATTTACTTTTTACAGGCATCCATTGGTTCCCATTAGGGACACCTTTTCTTTTACTTCTTTCCCTTATACAACCCCTGACCAACTGACTGTGTTGAGTGATTTGTGCAGATTATTTCCTGTGAATATAGCAGCAGAGATACATTTTATTGATATCTTTTAGCTGTAACGTTGTTGGTAAATGAATACAAACACGCAGCTCTTAAATGGTGGGAGGGAGGGGATTTGGAGTTGGGGTGTGCAGCTGTTGGAGCAGGATTAGCAGGGCGAGATGACCCTTCACAGCCCCCCCACACCTCCACCCATAACACAACAACAACCTACCCAACGACTCCATGCCAGCACACACACACACACACACACACACACACACACACACACACACACACACCGCACACACACAAAAAGGAAAATGTGTGAGTCTGAATGGGCATCAGTGGCACCTGGATGCACCGACAGTAGATTTAAAATGTTTCAGGTGAGACTCTCCAGTTAATCTAGGTGCACTTGAGTTGTATTTCAATGTTTAAAAACTGCTTTGCACTTTATTCTGAGATTTACACCTTTCCTTTGTGGGTTCTTTGATGATTAACTGGAGATCAGATGAGTGTTTTTCTTTAATTATGTCCAGAGTTTAACTGTTGGCTGGTGTGTTGCAGAGAATAAAAACAGAGCATGACCTCATGTAGAAATCCAGGCAGCAACAGCGAGCAGGACGCTGCAGCTTTTTGAACATGATACTGATTTAAACCACCAGACCTTTCTGACTCTGACTGAACACACAAGCATCAGTCATGTTTCTCTGCTGCTTCAGATGCCAGTTAAGCACTCAGCAATTACACGTTTGATGACATCAGTGAGGGTTTTGGGCGGCGGTCCAGCCAGTTGGACATCAGCGATAGTACAGCCCGATCAAATGATCACTATGTGCCCTTCTCAGTCCCTCAGTGCAGGCTTATAGGAGAGGTGTCACCACGGCAGCCAACTCTGGGCTGCACATTCTCATGTCTGCTTTGTTTTTCCTGCCATACTCTCCAGTCATTTCAGATCCAGCCATTCCCCATCACCTGACCTCCCCTGCCTACCTGCATAGCTTTCTCTATCAGCCCTGCAGTACACTAGTGATGTGTCGTTCATGAATGAATCAGCTCTGTGAAGCAGCTCCTTTAAGTGAACAATATCCTGTCTGAGAGCAGATTTTTTTTTCTCCACCCCCCACCCAGAAATAAGAGTAATACAAGACTGAATAATAGGATGATTCCATAAACGTATTTGTTAAGTACGATCCAGAAATGTCTCACTTACAGATGGTGAAACTTTAATATGTTGCACCTGTCGCATACAAAACATAGTTCAATATAAATCTGTAATAGTTTGATGTTTTGTTTATGCAATTCTGGAAATTAATCTTAAGGTTTAGTATAATGACATTAAATAGTTTGAATAGAAAAGTGAAATATAAGCACAAATACCAATTGCCAAAACTTTGCTGAATTATTATAAAAGCTGGAAGTGGTAATATACGAAGAGCCATGTGGGAGCAGAAAGATTCAACTCTTATTGCTGAGCTGAGCCTAATGATGCTCACTAAAAAGAGACAAAATTCCGATCACCAATATGTAAGGCCTGTTCCCATTTATTCTTTGCCAGAGAATAAATGTCAGATTTGTTCTGCTTGTTTGACATTGCCAGCGTGGTCCTCTGCCCCTCTGCCTGCCTGGTTTTGGACTGCAAATAAACTTTATATTTACATCAGTAATCAATAAAATGAGATGGTGATGAAACACCAATTCCATCCAGTTATAAAGGAGATAAGAGATAAACATATAATGGCCAATGCAGTACATTTCTGGATGACATGACATTTGCAATGGGGCAACAGTTGAGTCCCATTCAGTTTCTTGTGTGTTTTTAGACTGAAGCAGATCTGAGCAGGTCCAGAGATTATGGCGTGGAGTGTGGATGCATGTGAGATAGGCAGGGAAGATGAGGATGGTGGCTGGACACAGGGACCAAAAACCAGGCAGAGGAGAGCAGGGTTAATGGTATGCAAAAACAACAGGGAATTCACCTTTTCCAGAAAAAGGCTAGGGACCCAGACTGACTGATCAGGCACTTCAAACTGGCAAGGTGGATGTGGAAAGGCTTTGAAAGAGTCTTGATGCAGGATAAGATGCAGCTGGAGAGGCTCCACCCCAAGTTCAGTACACCTGCCTTCACTCAGGTAATCAGGTCAACAGAGAGAGAGAGTGGGAGAGAAAGAGAGAAAGTGAGAAAGAAAAAGACACGAGGCCAGGTGGAGGGCAGTGAGTTTTGTAATAGATGCAATGCATTTGAACTAGTGGGCCTCTTTGCACAGCTACGGAACAATTGACTAACCCTAACCCTAAAGTACAAATAAACTTTTCCAGGACAACATAGATTATTTCCAGGATATTCTGTCCTTTTAATCAATTTCCAGGTGTTTCCATGACTGGAAAACAAGTTTCTAAACTTCCAGGTTTTCCAGGATGTGTGGGAACCCTGCTGGAGGACATTCATGGTGCTGTACTCTAAAGTGAGAAACCCTGGATCTGACATCCACACAGCTGGCAATGGCATTAAGTAGGTGTGAATGTTGGATTGTCTGCTTCATAAAGTTACAGAAATGTTCAGATACAGACCCCCATAATCTGATTCTGAGTCTGTCTGTATGTGTGAATATTAAATAATACATTATACAGACAGAGAACTGTATTTAATGTTCCTAAAATCTCATCTATGATGCAATATTCACAGGAAAGACTTCCTGCAGTTATTGCGTTCACTGTTTGGGTTCATTGTACAGTTTATAAGTTGTTCTGTGCTGTTGTTGATATGCACTGAATATAATATGAAATGTTGATACAAAAATTCACTTAATCAGCAGCCATCACTTTACCCAATGAGAGCAAGTTGGTCCCTTAAGGAAAAAAGTTGGGAACCACTGGCTTAAGTAAGTGAGTTCTCAGGCCATCATGTGACTTTAACCAGTACACCTAAACCTCTGTACAGCACTGGTCCTGACCATCTGAGCTCTGTGCGATCTCCCCGCCTGGTTTTGGCAGCTCACTCAGAATCGAACATAAATGGTGGTGGCTTACATGTCTGCTGAAAATCCCTGGATTTTGTGGGTTCACAGCTCAGTATCATTTTCCCGTCTGCCCGTGCCAACGTGCCGCAGCATGTAATCAGCCGTGTGTTCAGACCAGCCAGCCAGTCTGGAGTCTGAGCAGGCTGTGAAATGCCAATACGAGAGGAGGAGCAGATTTACAGGTCTTACTTCCTCTGAATATCCATCCTCACACATCTGGTTTAGTAGTTGATTGATACCGGACACGTAGTCTCTGAAATTAAAGAAGCAACTGCGATGTTTTCATTTGGTCCCAAATGTTGCTCTCTAACATCTGCAAGAGTCGACCCAACACACCAAACAGTGGTCAGAATATAGACCGAGTCGGCAGGTCATTAAAATGTCTAAAGTCATTAATTTGTGTTATATAATTAAATAAAATATAAATCCATGATATCCATGTTTCAAAGTAAGCATTTCATCAGATTTATATTACAAAAAATAGTTTGAACACATATCCATGCTCTTTTCTGCAGCTCATAGCATGGCTATTTTCTCATCTAACTCTGTGAATAAAGGGTTTACTTAGACCAAACCAGAATTGGCGATTGTTGGAAAGACGGGGGAAATACTAATAAAGACGGTCCAGGTGACTTTTATTTTGTTTCTGTGCAGTTTGAAATGTGTTTTAAGATTATTTGTTTGGTAAATTTTGTGATTTTGTCAATTGAGACTGGTCGTAAAACCAATTGATTGGTCTGAGATGTTGGTGCTATAGTGCGTGGTAAGTGAATTGCGTATATATATAACCTTTAAGTATGCACATATGTGTATGAAAAAAACATTATTAATGCCTGAAATAAATAAATTAAAGGCTGGCTGGCAGCCGGTTATTTGCGGGTCACCTCAAACAGTGTTCCCGCTATCAGCCGGCCCAAAGACAGACAGAGTTCGCCAAAGACATTCTCATTCAGGTTGTGGTGTTTGTGGTTGGTACAATAAGGAAACAAATCTGGAAATTTTAGGATTAATTTAAGCAAAAGACAATGAACTCTGTCGCATTAGCCCTTAATATACACAGAAAGAAAGTGTAGCAATAATAGCATGAACATGAGCTCTACTGGACACTTATCTAATGAACAGAGCAAACCATGTTTAGTTTTTCCCAAGGAAATATTTATTGAAAATGCAAATGTACATTTGTATGATACAAATCCTCTTTAACTCGACTATCCAGGCGGGTCTGTTTGACATGAACAAACACATTAAGAATTTAGTCCACAGAGAAACATGCATCTATAACGCACCACCATGCTCTCCTGATAGCTTCTTTGCCCTCACGGTATTCTGTCATCGGGAAAAAAACTAATCAAAGTTTTGGATCCTGTTTGGTTTTGTTTGTTCTCCAGTTGGGCTTCTCTTCTCATCGTGTTGTCATCCACAAGATCAGAACAGCTGTGCTCTATCAAACTCCAATAAATAAATAAAGTGCTCCACATACAGCTGGATTTAAATCAGTTAATACATCTCACTAGTGTTGATTATATAAAGTATATTTCACATCACTGAATATACAGTTTATTGTTGTCTTTCTAGAAGTGAAATAGCTAAAAATTTGATATTGCAAATCATTTTTAAAAGTTAGGAAACAGTTATTTACAAAACCAAGGCAACATAATGAGGAATTCTGGGTAAAATATGAATCTCCAAAGGATGATGATGTTTCCTGATTGAATGTATCGCAAACTCATTTTCAAAACTTTTTGATATATATTTTTAAATCTTTTAATTTTCAGCCATAACAGCACAGAAGCACTCTGAGAAGACGAGCGGGGAAACAAGTTCCCACTGAAACACTAAAGATCAACTTACTTTTGCCTTTGCTGAACATTTTCTCTTCTCTGCAGGCTGACAGGGAGGTGGCAGAGCAGCAGTACAGTAAAGCATAAAGCTGTAGCTCTTTGCATTGTGTTTTTAAAGGTGTCAATGTATTGTTTTGATCAATTATCAATTAGGTATTATCAGAACAGCATTTAGACACAGGCAAGAAATCTGCTGGTGTTATGAAACAAAACAGCAGCTAAAATGTTGCGAGCAGAAGCACCATAACTACTAAGTGCGGTAAAATAATAAAAGTCAACTCATTTCCAATGAGCAAAAGAAAACGTAACATTATTTGTGATTTCTTTCTATTACATATTTGTGTGATGACTTTCTGTGCTAAGGCTCATGGCAATCCATTTTCAATTGAGATCAACTGGATAATCTTATTTTATTTAAATTTTTTATTTTGACATTTCAAAGTGCTGACAAACACTGCGAAGACAGTTTGCATTATATATAATAATTCAATAATTATATATAATACTTAGTAGTTGTCAGGTGCCCATATAAACAAAGAAGCAGTGTTTTTGGTTTGTTTTTGGTTTTTTTTGTTGAATCATCTCTGTTCATATTGGCTGTTAAGAAACTTCCTAATGTGCTTTCAATGAAAGAGATGGACAGAAATACCTTCCAAAGTTTATTTGAAGTCAATGTGAGGCTTCAGCGGTCTGGGTTAGACAAAGCGAGTATCTTCCAAAGTTACTGTCCAGGAAATAGAGGGACTTTTGTACTAAAATGATCATATAAGAAAACGTCTTTGCACAGACTGAGGACTGTGGATTTTGTCCACTATCACTCACACTGAATGCACAAGAAGGGATCTTTTCATGGCCAGTATGAACAGGAGAAATTATTACCGCAAGAAAAACCTGTTTCAATGTCCATAATCTGTCCTTTAAGACAATAAATTAACTTTTAAGCGATAAAAATCCCAAATTACTCATCTTGTGGTGTCAAATAGGCCACGCTCTAGTCTTTTTGTTTCCCAGGGAAGGTAAATATCAGAGGTCAAAGGTCACTTTCAGTGCCCTGTAGTTAGCAGCTTCCCACTGAGTGTCGGTGCTGCAGTACCACCTCCCTGCCAGCAGAGGCACCAAGACAACTAACTGTTAGAGCAAGAGTCGTGCAGTCCTGCCAATCACAGCTCAGTATTTCACTCTCCAAACATCCTAAAACAACATGGCTGAGGGTTTCTTCTTCTTCTTCTTCTTCTATCACACTGTGTGTGTATGTATGTAGTGTGTGTGTGTGTGTGTGTGTGTGTGTGTGTGTATGTAGTGTGTGTGTGTGTGTGTGTGTGTGTGTGTGTGTGTGTGTGTGTTTAGGACCACTGGCAGGAGCAGTCGGTGGGCTCCTGGATGGTATAGCTGACCCAGGTTGCGTTGCCGCTGCAGTAGAGCTGCACGGAGCGTCGCTGCAGCCCTGTCTCCCTGCAGCACTTGCAGAAGCGAGCATAAGTGTTAATGTTGTAGTTGTAGATGCTGGCAGACGGACACTTCCCGTCACATGACACGATGTTTACCTGCAGGACACAGAGAGTCAATGCAGTATGGTAGAATTATGGCAAATTAATATTTAGCTTGTCCTACAGGTGCTGAAGGAGACACTAAAATGTGTATCTTTATGGGTATAATTTTAGGTTAAACGTATATGCAGATGATATACGGCTCTCCCTTAGTAACTTTATCTATGTGTGATTTTATAATTAAAGGACAGAATGAAATGGAATGATAATGGATAGATACATTTATGTTGAACCACAACATCGGATTTGCGAATTTTCTTCGTGTTCTGCTGAGACTTCATAAAAAAGCTCAAACAGCAGCATCACATCACAACAGATACAAAACATACCGGTCTGTTGCTGCGACAGTCATTCTTCCTGATTGTCATCCTCACCGTCACCTTCTGACACGACTTGCCATCTTCTTTGCCTGTCCACACGACAACAAACCAAATCAGTTGGAACAAAGTTAACATGAGATAACCAAAACAAAGCATCTGACCAGTAGCGTGGAGAGAATACAGCAAACACCAGGAAGGACAGGAGAATGTTGGAGAAGAAGGAGTCCTGTGAGGCACTGAGGCTGGAAATCATGCACAAGATGTTTTAGTTTGATGAGTTAGATGAAGAAAGAGAAGAAATGAATGCCCAGAAATCATGATAAAGAGTTTTAGGTAGAAAGCAACAAAGAAGGAAGCTTCCCAGTCAGTCAGAAAGGACAAATTAAGTTTCTTCCAAATAAAGAAAAATATGCAAAAATTAAAACAAAAATACTGTAGGGATGATGAGATCCTTTATGCATTTATTGTGTACACATAAAATCTTTTAAAACCTTTTTATCTTCAAAGAGGGTAAATAAATGAAATTTATTGACACACATGCTCCATCAACCTTTGTGTAATTTGGCATAAAAAACAATAATCAACAAGAAAAAAAAGCATAAACTTAATGCTGCTGTGTGTGGCATTTAGTCTTTTTCCACATTAACATAACATACCACATATCAGAAAGATATATGTGACTGATTCAGTTTTTTCTCAACCAATCTGTAAAATTTTGTTTATTTTTCTTCACTGTGACAATGATAGAAGGTCGTAATCCGGTTACAAAGTTACTGGTTAAGTTTGTTACATGAACAAGAATGATGTCATGTCATCAGTTTTGTATGGCAATAGGCTCCTAATACTACATTACCCATCAGCTTCAGTGGCCATTGTTAGGCAAAGATGGGGTACAAATCATCAAGTGCTGATTGTTGCTCACTAATTGCAGATGAATAATAAATAGTCTTACAGCGCATGGTAATACATGGATTGCAAGCTCTATATTTGTTTTGATTGGTAAAATGTGTCAAAATAAGAGAGAGGAAATTATCTTGACTTGCAAATAGAAACTCTTCTAATATTGACCCAGTTTCTACAAAGTGTAATCTTTAGCTTTAGTCTGCAAATAATTTCTTACCAAAATGCTCCTTGTTTGAATTCTCTTCTTAAGTTTGTCCACAGGTTTGTACGTTTGAACCAGATATTCACACGTCACCACAAAGCTGAAAACAGGGCTGTTTTTCTGAGCTCATGAAAAATGTCGTTTTTAGAGATAAATGGTTCTCACAGGACAGAAACGCTACTAACATGATAATCTTATGAAATATGATGCATTGCTGTAGACTGAACTACCCAACAGTGTATAAAGTTGTTTGAATTAGCACAACCTTGAACATCAACAGCAGTAAAATGCAACGTACACATTAATGCAGCATTAATATTAATCCAAAAACATCAGATGTAATAGTAACACACTGACAGGGAACATTTACTGCGTAATAAGTACTTTTGATGCTTTCAGTAAATTTAAATTAAATATTTGGACACTCAAAAAACTCCTTTCGACTACTCTATTATCCGACTCTTTCAAAATAAAAGTACAGACAGTTGTTTCTTTTGAAAGTCTGCAGTGATGGTTCTTCAATGGTAAAATGCCTCACACAGCAGCTTCAGTTTTCCACACAGCTCCCCCTGGTGGCGGAGCAGCACTGCAGCAGTAGTGCAGCAGCATGCAGATCTTCTACAGCAGCTACATGTTTCGGTGAAAAGACCCCCGACACCAACCCACATCAGAATCTACGGACACATGCAGACGTCTAAGCCCGACTACTGGGCCACTACCAACAGTACATTGTTGGCAATCAACAATGCACTGCCCAGACAGTGCTAAATGGGGAAAGAGTTTAGCTGTCGTGTACATGTACGTGATCCACGGGGAGGGGCGGGGGGTAAATACTTGTTACTGTCCTCTCAAGTGTGACATCATTTTTGGCCTACATAAAGGATTGTGTCCCCGCCTCCTTTTAAGGTGTAAAAACACCTTAATTACATCATTACTTTTTAGGATTAAAAACTTCTCAAGTAAAACTCAGAATTTAACAGCTCCATGAAGCGAGGAAAATTCAACATCTGTATCGTAAATTGTTATAAATATATACATTTTTGGTTATGGAAGCATTTCTTGGCTTTGTTGCCTGAAATTTCTTCTGATTTTTATTTAACCGAGACCTGAAATGAGACAGCATTTGAGAGGACTGTTCTGCAGATTGCAGTAGGTTGCAGTCAGACTTTGGGGTTTCCTGTGTGTTTTATTACTATTCTTTTGGAGGGAGTACATTGTTGAATATCAACAATGGCACTGACAAGCCTTGTTGTTGTTTTATGTACCTCGTTCACAGTTTGTGTTAACTGTGGGAGTCAAGGGGCTAACGGGGAAGGGGAACAGAGGGAATCCAGTACCTGGTGGGATTGGTACATGATGGTAAGCTGCAGCACATAAACCACAAACCCACTTGCATGTGTTCAGATGCTTTTCAGTGATGCTTTGACAGAATTACCGGTTTTTCCATTTTTATTGAGAAGACTAAATTCACTGAAAAGCACCCTGACAGACTTCTCTAATCTGAATAAACAGCAGACAAATGTAATGGAAAACAACAGCTGGGATCCAATTCAGACAATGTGGTTAAAGATTCTGGACTGAAACGTACAAACTGAAGGGCAAACATGTTGGAAACATGTTGAGCGGCAGGTGAATGTGCTCTTCAGTGTCAGCTGCAGCCTACAGCTCTACACTAACTACAGAACTGCTGCTACGCTCAGATCAGATACTCACATGTCTTGCAGCATCCGTCCATGTAACTTACGACAGTTCCACCGATCTGAGTGCAGATAGGAGTGAAAATGTTACGACAGGAAGAAAGAAAACGTGTGAATTTGTGTGAAACCCTTCATCTTTGCATCAGTTCAGCCAGTAGGGTTTTTGAAGGGTGATATTCTTTCGTTGACGCTCCTGAAGGATCTTTTTTTTTTTTTTTGCAAATATTCAAAATGTCAGACAAATCATTTTGAATATTCTGGATTTACTGCCTGAAAATGCTTTTAGATGAGATTAATGTGCAAATGAAAAATGCAAACTACACTGAGTTAGCTGTGTTGTTACTCTTATTACACATGTCAAATATGTCAAAAATATAGATTTTGTCTGTTTTTAGATTAAAACTTTTGCCTCCTTCTGATAAAATGATTGCATTAAGGGGTGAATATAAAAATCCAGTCTAATAATAAAGTATATAAATGTATGTGACAGATCCAGCCACAACATTATATATACAACCTGCAAGAAAAAAGTCATTTATAAACACACCTTTGCAGTTTTAGTGACAATCACCATACAGCCTAAAGAACTACAAAGAGATTGCTGTGTGCAAATTTACTTAGGATCCATCAAACCACGGAGAGAAACAGTCATTTTATCTGATCTTTAAGAGATCATTCAATAAGATGTGTGACTGGAGGGAAAAAGAGGAAACATGGTTGAACTCTGTAAACATGACAGTGTGTGTGTGCTGCTGCATGCTGACCTTCATGCACTCGGTTTCATTGAACGGTGGGCAGCTGAAGGAGTAGGAGATGAGCGTGGGTCCGGACAGAGTGTCTGCGCAGTCGAACTTCATGCAGTTTGATACCCAGGACTTCCCCGGCTGAAAACACACCGACAGCATCAAAAACATCAACTGCTGAACTACAGAAGCAACGTACTGACGCAGCTCGGATGGCTAATCTGATTGAGTTTCAGTCAGTGTTTTGGTTGACCGTATGAAACTGGGACAATATGAGCAAAATGTGTGTAAACTGGAGTCAGACTGTAATTGGCATAAGCATCATTCATCTAATGATAAATCTACCATTTTTTATGAACATAGAAGGGAAAAAAAACTCAAGGAACACTTACTCGTTATTTATGGGGCTTTCAACTGTATCTCACTGTCTTCAGCAACAGATTCAGATTCAGACTCAGAGTTTGAGATGGCTCAGATGTGATAACAGGTGATTGAATACTGCATTTGGGAGTGACTATCTGCTATCAAATTATCAGCTGATGAATGCAGTGAGATATGGCTGAAAGCTCCAGAAAAAGCTAGTAAGTGGACCTTCAGTCACCATTTTTCTTGTATCAAGCTAATGTCTTGACTACAAGATGTACTTTGTACCAGACTCACTTGGCTGAAACTACAGGTTATATGAGACATTTAAAAAATGTATGAGAAATATTCAGAATTGAATGTGTAATAATGTATAATTAGTCGACTTCCTACCTTATAGAGAACTGTTGTGCCGTTCTCGTGTTCGTAGAGGCAGGAAATATTCCTACAAACACCGCAGCACGTTGACTGATCCTTGGGAGGGATGTAAATCTGATTCTGAAACACAAACGTTTAAGTTTAGTTATGTAAAACAAGGAAAACTAGAAAAAGATGATGTATGGATGTATAGAAGGTCTGAGGTCGGGACTAAAACTTAGCAAACAGGTTACATCGCTGTCTCTGTCTATCTCTCTGCTCCCTGTCTGTGTCATGGATGTGTAACAAGCTGCGGGTCCGTGTGTCAGTGTCTGTTTGACTGAAGGCAGACAGGATGAAGCTACGCTTCACACGAAATCCAGAAACACGGTACCTTTCTGCAGGGCTGTGCAGAGGTGCTACTTGTGCAACAGAATGTAACCGAAAATAGCATTAGATTTATCAAACCCTCTCTTTAATCTTGTCCCTCGTACCACGACCAAAGGTGCTTGCCAGAAAAGAGGGGCCAACTTTGAATGGTGCATTTACAAACAGCAACAGACAAGTCCTGCATTGCATGTTTTTAAATCTTAATTTCAAAGCGGTGACGTCCTCAAATGTCTTGTTTTTTCCGACCAACAGTCGAAAGTTAAAAGATATTCAGTTTACTGTCACAGAGGACCAAGAAAAAGAGCAAATAAAATTTGAGAAGTCTGAATCAGCGACTTTGTGACACTTTGCTTAGAATTAGACTTAAGTAATTAATCAATTAATGCTGCTGATTCATTTTCTGTTGATCAGCTGATTGATAAATTGACTTTTTCAGCTCTACTTGAAATAATCAATCATGCAGCGTCCTCTGGCTGAATAGTAACTTAACAATCAGGGGAGATTTTACCTGTGTATCTGGCAGGTTTTTCTTCTGCGGTTCTACATTCAGATACGTTTTATGGAAAAAGAAAAGGAAGAAGGAGGAAAAGAAGAAGAGGATGAATCAGTTCAAGATCAAGATGAGGAGCGAGTACAGGAAAAAGAAAAGCTGTAGAGTTGTAGCTCTGCAGTAGTTGTCCCTGTGTGGGTGTACTGGTGTGGGTGCTGGGCTCTTACTGGTTGGCAGTGGGCGGAGCAGTTGATGCTGCTGGTGCGGAGCAGGTGGAAGCCGCTCGCCGGGTCGAGGCTGCGGCTGCACTGCCTGCTGTGACACAAGCCGTTGTCATCGTGCTCCACCAGAGTCTGACCCGGCCGCAACACGCCTCGCTCGCCGAACACACACACCGCCTCGCGCACTGAACACAAACACATACACACACAGAGGTCAGGGGTCACAGATTCTGGACTTGTTGAAAGTGTTTGGAAACTGGCAAAACTGAATTAACTTCTTGTTTAATTAAAAAGGGTGGTGTTCTTACACCAAAACCACTTGTTATTATTTTTTGTGTTTTTTTCCTTTTTAATTGTGACTCAGTTTCCAAGTATTATGAAATATGAATTAAGTTCATATAAAGTTTATGATTTTTGTTCTGAGAGAAAACATGCAGCAGCAGCTTTTGCAGGATGTGGAGTTTTTCTGAGTTTCTCTTTCTTGAAGTTGAACCAGAAACCCAAACCAGGAGCACTCACCACACTTGTATCTTTTGCAGGCACACTGGTTCTGTGGGTCAGACAGGAAGGCCCGGTCCAGCTGGGCAGCTTCTCCCTGCAGAAGACAACAAGAACCGAACCAGGGTCACCTAACATGATGGCACACGATGTTGAATGATGGCATGATGCCTTCTACTGATGTTGAAATACAAAACTAACTAACCCAGTGACTTTTTATACACATAAATCATATAAAATACATCATTACACGTCCAAACAGACGGACTGAATATTAGAAATCATAACGTACCAGGCCACATTTTGGGGAGGCGATCTTTTCACAGGAGCACTCTGAGAACAGAAAACACGATTGGTCATCATCTTCCCATCTCAGCTGTGATCAGGCAGTAAGCTGACACTACATAAATCAAACAGTAAATAACTCATCATATCATCATAAACCAAAAGTGACCAGTCAGGGTAAATTGAACCCTTTAAAACCCGGTTCATGCTGCAGTGGAGCTCTAACTGATTCAGCTGTGCCTTCGAATCAATGTAAACATTTTCCTGCTGTTGATTTTACGAGTCGTACCGCATGTTTGGTTGGGACAGCAGCGACCCGGACTGGACACGGACAGCACCGACATCCCAACAGCACAACTAAGCTGAGGACACCTGTAGGGCTCACACACTGCACACACACACACACACACACACACACACACGTCAAAAACATGCCAGTCATTTATGTATTCATAACTGTTGTCAGCTCTTTGTATTAGAAAATAACAGATAACTCAGTCAGACCGATAATATTGGACAATTCTAACTAATAACATTGTTATAGGCATATATTTATAACAAGAAACAGCAGTAATGCCAAACATAAGGTAATTTAGAAAGAGTTTGTACACCAGAGAGCACTGCCAGGTTTATTTTTCAACTGTAAAATGTTGCACAATTCTGTTAATATGGTAACAATTTAAAAAGGAGAATGAATAAATGAGTGTGTGTGTGTGCTCTGACCACATTGGTAGGCGGGGCAGCACCGGTCCGTGGTGTTACCGTCCACCGTCAGCACCTCGCCATCCAGGCAGAGAGGAGGTGTCTCCAGACAGGAAGAACACACTGCAGAGAACACACACTTCATTCATTACACAGGTGACTTTAACCTGCTGAACGTTCACTGATGGCTGACTGTGTCACTGAATATAGAAGTTAAAGCAGTTCATATTTGAACTCACTGCAGATGTGAGCGAGACAGCAGCTGCCGTCGGCTCTGGTGGCGATCAGAGTCTGGTCGTCTCTGCAGGTGGGATCATCTGACTCACAGAGTTCAGGATCACACTCTGTAACACACACACACACACATACACGCAGAAGCATTAAAGGAATGGTTCCACATTTAGGAAATATGCTACTTAGATATACAGAGAGCACAGAATCGGGTTGTGGGTTGATACAAAATATGGTGATGGAAATGTTATTGGATTAAGGTAAACACTTCAATACAGTGCATTCCTAGTACAATAAAGGGAAGCCATCACTCTGTTGATCAGAGAGGAAGCTCACCACACACGTAGTCCGGACAGCAGGAGTCCTGTCTGTAGTACGACACCAGCTTCTCCCCGTATTTACACTCAGGAGGGAGCAGGTCACACAGGCTCTGGTTACACACTGCAGAGTCAGAAATGTTTTTGGTTAATAATGTGCCCCAGATTTGAACAGTAAGGTTTGCTGATTCAGATGTCGCACTGTGGCCTCACCGCAGACTTTCTGTGGGCAGCAGCTGGTGTCATCTGCCAGGCTGATGATCACCTCCGCTACCCGGCGGCACACCGGCACCACCACGTTGGAGCAGTTGTACTCCACGGGGACGATGGTGTCGTTGTCGCAGCGGTACATACAGCAGGCGTCCTTTGAGGCTTTCCACACCTCGCCGTGTGCACGAGGAACACCGGAGCTGTCAGTGCAGGCTGCAGACACACACACACACACACACACACACACACACACACACACACACACACACACACACACACACACACACATAAAGCCATGATTTCTAGTTCACTGGTTATGAGCTGACAGCACGAAAGCAGGGCATGAAGGCTGATATTAGTTTTGGATTCTGAAACACTAGTTTGTGGTTTGGTAGTTTCAAGATTCTACGATTGTCAAAGTACTTGTGAACTTAAACCTGAAGACAGATAATTATTCATTATATTTTTCAGGTTACAGAAACAATCTCATGCCATCACAATCTAATGTTGTGACCTTTAGTTCAAGACCTCCTGCTCTGTGCTACAGACAGGTAAACTGGCGTCTTACCACACTTCTCAGGTGAGATGCAGAGGGCGGAGTACGGCCGGTGGAGCAGCGTTCCCTCAGGACACACGCAGCCTTCGGTCAGGCCTGAACACTGATCCGGGTCTGAGTCAAAGTCGTGGTTGGGGCAGGACTGAGACGTGCAGGCCGGCAGACAGGCCTGATACTGAAGAGTGTCGGGACACACGAAAGCTGAAGGAAGAGACACAAACATGTCAGTGCCTCCAACACTTTACTTTTGCATTAGCTTTTGCTTTGTTCTACTTATCTTTTAAGTTTGTGTACACAGAAGGGTTTCCTTCATGCTCAAAGAGCAGGTGTGAGCGTTTAAATGTTTTAACTGCAGACAGAAATCTTACGGCAGTAATCTGGACTTCTCCACTCAATGCAGATGTTGAATTTGTGGCAAGAAGCAACGTAGGCAGCCAGCGCCACACACTGGTTGTTGACGTACTCTGCATCTCGTACCCAAACCTCACAGAATGTGCTTGGCTGGACCTGGAAACCAAGAAACAACCAAATGCATAGAAGATAGCTGGAAGTTATATAGTGTCTATCGTTAGCAGTTTTTAATCAGTGGTGTTTCATAAGTCATCTAATATTTCTGGTAAATGTTATATGAGACATTCAAATTTATCTTGTTAATCCACATATTTTAACTTATTTGTCAAAAGTATTTTATTTAAGAGAAGAGAGAGAGCAATAACTGCAGAACCAGGCTTAGAAACTGTTAATCCACTGGCTCCTGCGTAAACGGAGAACAACCTGGAAATGAGTTCACAGATGGGTTAACGTACGAAGGCGTGGCAGGGTGTGAAGGAGGGGTTCTGCAGCATGTCCAGGCAGATGGAGCAGTCACTTGTGGAGCAGTTGAGCTCGCGGCGGCGGCTGTTGCTGATGTAGCTGGTGGTGTTGGGAACCTGCCAGCTGTCGATGAACAGAGCTGGATCCTCACTTACGCCCAGTGTGGTGCCGTTGGCCATAGTCAGGTCATTTGTTGGGTCTCCATCACAGAATCCTGAGTTGGGTGTCAGAGGAAGGGTAAATGGTAAATGGACTGCAATGACACAGTGCCTTTCTAGCCTTCCAACTTCCTAAAGAGGAAACATTTATCTTTCATATAACTGACAAAATATATAAACAATTGACAGTAACATCATCAGCTGTTGCATTTTTAGTGACTCGTTTCTGTGTGATCACCCCAGTAAGAGGAAACAGCATTAACAGAGCATGCAAGCAAGACAGGTGTTTTAAAGCAAGTAATGCAATGAAAATTGTACAACACAATTATGCGTGGAGTCCTAGGACTAAGACAGCTCTTACCACAGAGGCCCATAGTGGGAAGCTTGTTGTTGCTGGAGCTGTCGGTGTCGATCACCATCATGCCGGTGCTGTGGTACCACTGCAGCTTGAGACCAGCCGGGCTGCGGATCAGGTACATGTTGCCTGTGTCGTAGACCTCAAAGCCAAACTTCTTAAATCGAGGCTTGGCATAGCGAGAGTTGACATAGAGCTAAAAGGAAATGAAAAGTGAATGTTATCAGATAGATTTAGCTTTAATCTGCACAGTTAATATATATATATATATATATATATATATATATATATATATATATATAATGAAAATCAGGATAGGAAGTAGCGCCTCTTACCCTCCTCTGCAGCCTGTTGATGATGATGTGGTTGGATTTGTGGGTGATGTTGAGCGCCACCAGACACAGGTTGGTGAAATTCCAAAGGAGCTTTGGAAAGAAGAATAAAATCAATGACAAATCAAATCAGTGACTTACATTCAAATGGCTGTAAGGGAAGCTGCTAAGTGTGATATTGACTCACTGGAGACTCTGAGTCAGCAGGACACTCCTGAACCAGGACGCTGACCGTCTCATTGGGCAGCTGGGTCACTATGTATGAGGCAGCTTTGTAGATGGCAACGCTGTTTCCGTCAAATGTGATCACATTCAGATCAGGAAACATCGAGCAGCGACCTGGAACAGACAGGACGACAATGATCTGAATGCAAGAGCATGTTATCATCATTCAGTCAAATTTACAAATGTGGAGCTATGGGCAGAGTTGACTCCTGTTTTCCTCACATGGACAGTCCCACTGGGGGCAGCACTTGTCTCCATTGACCAGTACAGCAAAGCCAAGCAGGCCACAGTTGGGAGGGTCCGAAGTGAAGGGGCAGCTCTGGGATTTGTTGAACAGGACGAGTTGGTTGTTGACACAAATGTACTTTGTGCACTCATCGACGATCTCTGCATACGGAGGCTGGAATGAAACAAAATAAAGACCAAGGAGTCACACAACAAAAATAAAGCAATAAAGAGATATTTGTACGCAGGATAGAAAGGTAGTGTTTCATGTGTTCATTTAAAATAGACATAAACTCCTAAATGACTCCTTATTGGAAAAATATTCTTAAACTCTGAGTTTACTTAATTGCTTTTTCCAGAGCTTTTGACTGTATCCCACGGTCAACTTCAGACACACAATAACTAGTGGTAATATCCGATGTCCTCACATATACAACCACTTATGTGATCCAAGCGTCCATTTGCTGAGGAAGACCTTGGATACTCTCTGGAAAAAAGCGAATAAGTTAACCTTGAGTTTAATATAATCTACCACAAATAAACTATGTGTGAACCATTCTGCTTGTACTGCTGGAGAATAGAAACATCAATGTCTGTTGTACTGAAGTAGGAAAAAAACAAGAAGTTGAACACTTGTGAGTGGGTGCTCTTATTTAAAATGTTTGCTTTCAACTTTTTGGTACCAATGAATGTAAACCAATCAGAATCAACGTTAAATTGACAAAAAACCTGAACCTACAGTGCACATCCTTGTAGGTGACACAGCCATGGACGTCGCCCCCTCTGAAGTGTGTCTGGTTGTTTCCAAAGGTGTGTAAGGCGATGGCGGTGCAGGAGGAAGCGTTGTTGCACCCGGACTGGTACGATCAACTCTGTCCTGCTCAGTAGTTTTGATCGAGGTGGTTGCTGGGAGTGAAGTCGTAGTGGGAGTGGGAATATCAGGCTTCTGGGTGGAGATCATTGTATCAGGTGGAGGCGTCACTGGTTGGGATGAGGATGGTGACATGTCGGTCTCTTTGGTTGTCAGGGTTTTCTCGGATGTCATCTCGGACTCTCTGGTGGTTGTCGTGGGAAGAGCTGTAGATGCCGTGACTGTTGTTAGAGTAGGAATAGGCACTCCAGCGGTTATGGTGGTTGGGCGGGGAACCGCTGCAGTTGTGTCGACACGTTCGGTTGTACTCGCTGTAGTGACCATCTCGGCAGATGTTGTGATGGTTGTAGTTGGCACACCTGACACGGTTGTTGGGCCAGGGCTTGGTGTGACGGTCGGTGGGCTGAGAGTAGTTGATCTGACGGTTACTGCTGGAGGCCTTGTTGCTATGGTAATCCTAGCAGTGATGGGCCTGATGGTTGACCTCGGAGTCACTCTGGTTGTCACAGGAACTCTGGGTGTCGTTCTGATTGTGGTTGTCCGTGTGAGGGTGGTAGCTGGTGTAGCAGGTGTAGCTTCTGCAGTGGACACCAGCCGGGTGGTGACTTTGTCCAGGACAGTCGTTGACCTTGGAGCTGCGGTGGAAGTGGTTGTCTGTAGAGGAGACCAGGATGGAGGCGGCGTGGTTGTAGCTCTTGTTGACACTTCAACTCTGCCAGTCACTGGTTGTGTCGTCTCTGTAATCGGCTGTATAATGACTGGTCTGAGAGTGGTGGTAACGACACCTGGTGGAGCGCTTGTGAAGAGCGTGGTGAGAGGTGTCTCAGGAATATCAGACCCAGGTGGAGGTGTAACCAGTTTTCTGGTTGTGGTGGCGGCAATTTCTGCAGTGGAGATTTCCGGAGACGGTGTAGTTTTGGCAGTAGTGGTAATAGGTGTGGCAACAGCTGATGTCGCAGAGGTGACAATCAACTTTGATGTTACAGGAAGGCGAGGCACTTCAGTAGTTTTAGTGGAAGGGACTACATGGATTTCCGATGTGACCTGTGGGGTAGTCCTCACTGTAGGGCTGTACAACAGGGTGGAGGAAGTCTCCCGATGGGGGGGACGCCATGGCTCAGACGTCTGCATGGTAGATGCAGGATGGGTGGAGCTCTCTGTTGTTGGTAAAAGTGGTACAGTAGTGGTTTCTGTCAGAGACACTGGCTGAACGGTTGGTTCTGTTGTGACAGCGGGTCCTGTGGGCACAGTGGAGGTTTCTGGAACCTCTGGAGGTCTTGAAGTTGTGGTCTGAGTGGTTTTCTCTGTTGTTGGGGCAGCAGTAGACCAGGAGGTTCTCTCAGAATAAGTTGTGGAGGTGGACACGAGAGGAGTTGTGGTGTCTGTAATCTTTAGAGGTGGAGGTGCAGCCGTTGTTGTGGTTGCTACAGGTATTTCAGACACAGTGGATTCAATTCTGGTCACTTTCTCTGTTGTTGTTCTCCAGTCTGTAGTAGCTGAGGTAGGAACAGATGGTACAGTTGTAGTTGGGACAACATGGATTGGGGTTGATGTTGGTCTCTCAGGAGCAGTTGTTGTAGAAGTTGTCACTTCAGTAGGAGTGGTGTGCAGAATCTTCTCTGTGGTTCCAGGTGGTGATGTCATCTCTGGACTGATGTACTGTGTTGTTTTACTAGTGGTGAAAGGTGCAACTGGTGTGACTGATTCTGTGGTTTTAGCTGAAGTGATTATAGGCAAAGATACAGTTCTTGTTTCCACAGGAAGTGAAGTCTGGAGAGGTGAAGAGGTTGTGGAGGCTGTGCTTGGTAAACCTGGAGGGCTGGGTGTAGTTGTTGTTGGGGGAAGTCGCTCCGCTGTTACAGGCTTTGTGGTGGGTTCTGTGTATGCAGTGGTAACTGTACTGGGCACAGTAGTCCTGTCTGTAACTATAGAAGTCTCTGAGACTGGTGTAGGACTTGAAGTGGAAGCGGTTACAATCGAAGTAACTGCTGCTGAATGCGTAGTAGCCTCTGTGGTCTCTTTGCTTGTGTGCACGACAACAGGAGGAGGGGTACTGATGGTGGTTGGCCCTTCGACTGAGCTTGTGGTCGATGCTAAAGTGGTAGATGGTTGCGGGGAGGTGGCAGTGGTGGTGAAGCGAGGCAGCAGGAAGTCGGTGGGCTTGGTGGAGGAGGTAAGCCAGAACAGAGCTGTGATGGCGAAGGGAGCGCTGCTTGTCCTGGACGTGCTGGGGCCGATGGGGATCGTTGCAGCTTTGGTCGTCCATGCTGTTGTACTTGTTACAGAGGTGGGTGGGGGTTCAGTCACTCTGACAGTAGACAGAGGGTCCCCCACCGCTGGCCTGACAGTAGGAGGCGCTGTTGGAGGAGATGGGGGTCCTGCTGTTCTAGAAAGTTCAGGAGCTGCAGATGGAGAGATGGGGACTGGATGGGGCGGCTCATCAGGGGCGGGTGGTGCCGTAGACGAGGTTGTCTGTGCAATCACAGCGGGAGTGGTGGTGGTGATTTTAGTGGTAGGAGCAGTGTGTGGATGGGTGGAGGATGCAGCGGCAGTGGTGGTAGTGGTGGTCTTGAGGGGTGTGGTTGAGGCAGTACTGCTTGTGGTGGTTGCAGAAGTGACAGCTGCAAAGGTCGTCTGAGCAGCGGACGGTGTTAGAGGCTGCACAGCAACTGGGACCTTAATGCCTGAACCCAAACAATTAAAAATGTGTTAGAGAAGAGCTGAGCTAGTTCATGACTGAGAGGAACGTATACAGCTTACTTTGAGTGTTAGGTATACATTTGGTTAGCAGTAATGTGAACTACATGATTTGGCCAACACACATTTCACACACAATTTAACTGTGAATCCTATTGTTGAACATTGGCACCATTGTTTATCATCTCTGTTGTTTGTTAATATCAGGGTTTTTACCTATTTGATTTATTTTCTATTTGCTTTCATTTACTTTTAGGGCCTGAGCCCCCTAGCAAAACACGAGTCCAACTCCAATGGGACTTGCATGCTTCAATAAAGGTTAGATAAAGTTAAAGGGTCAAAATTAGTCAAATATGTAAGAATGAACTATGAATATCGCTACATATTCTCACACGCTACTGACTTTTTTTTAACAACATAACAATTACTAGCAGTATAAGTGTCAATAAGTCAAAGTATGTAGTAGATTGGAGATGAGTTTAAATGAAATGTACAGTTACCACTTTGAAGATATTGTGTAATTTCTTGTGTTAAAATCCCTTATTCATTGTGTTTTAGTGGTTAATTTAGGTGTAGGTATAAGTAAAGATAAAAAAAATCAACATGACAGATTTTTTAATTGCCACATACATTCAAACTAAGAGTCCAACTACATAACATTAGAAGCTAAACACCACTGAACTCAGTCAGGGGGGTACTTACAGTCTTCAACATAGACACACCGACGGGTAACCTCATCCAGGACCATGTGTGGAGGGCAGACAGGAAGGCAGCCCTCCACTCTGTACAGAGAAACACACAGCCGTGAAAAAGCAGAAAGATCTATACTCTGTTCTGTTTTAGATGAGTATTGATGTGCAGTCTTGTAATTCAACATTAACAGCATTCTGTCTAGTCTGAACATGTCAAGCATGTCTACTGTACCATAAACATTTCAGGTTATGGACACATTGGTTATGACTGAATGGAATACAGTTAGACTGGATTTAAATGTAGGTCTTAATCATCTTAAACATCACCTCCGCATCTTTTCAGTGTAGGTGGACGTGAAGAGAAAAACTCCTGTGTTATATGTTGCATGGAATATTTCAATGTCACTTTTCCTGGAGAGATTTTATTCTAGATTAGAGCAAAGAGTAAATAGTTTAAATCTCTGTACTTTCCTATATATAGCTGTACTCTCTTCACTTTACCTTGCTTAAAGCAGCAACCTTTCTCACATCATTTTGTGATGATTCTGGCGCCCCCTGTGGACAAAGGCGGTAGTGTTTCCACCGCCTCATTTCATTGATTTTAAGGGGAATCCGACAGAATCCGACTCAGAGGCAGGCATTAAGGATAACTATATAGAAAAAGTCAATCTTCTTTCTTATGTAGTTCATTTAGAGTTTTAAAATTGAATTTCATAATCAGTTATAAACTCCTTGTAGTATGTTTAACTACATCCTCCTTGCACTTACCATTGCTCACTTTAAATACATTAAAGATAACATATTTGAAGATCTAGTTGGTAAATCATTTTTTAAAATATCCCTCTCCAGAAGAGACTTGTCTGTAAACTGTTTGAGTTGTGCTGAGCTACTGAAAAGGTCAAATGCCTCACTGTGGGATGGTGACGCAGGCTTCAGCTGACGGGTCGCTGCAGGTCTTGAAGCAGGGGATGGCGCAGGAATCATACCTCCACTGACACCGAGGAGCGGGCGGAGCGTCTGGGTTGGGGCCTGATGAAAAACACTTTTACTTCAAGGTCACAAGACTGGAATGTGTGTAATTGGCCTTCTTGAACAGTTAATATATGAAACTCTTTGGGGAACGCATATACAATACAAACTTTTGCATATGTCCACTTTCAGATCAGATTTAATTGTACAATAGCTTGATGAGCATTATGTCTGTATGCAGTATTGCACCTTGACTTTCCCCTAAATTTAACGTTCAGCAAAATGGGCAAATATATATATATACCTCATAGTCTCAATGAAACTGCTCATGATACAAAATAAAAGTCACTCTAATGTCGCTTCAATCACCACGAAAGGTCTTATGTGAAAAGTGTATCGCAGACGAGTAATGTGATGAACTTAGAAAGCCATTAGTGTCCGTCTGAAGCCTGGACTCTGACTCTGGACTGAATGTGTGTGGCATCCACTTCTGTCAGCAGGAAATCCAATCTGCCATTGGCTCCTTTTCCATTAACTAACACAAATGCTGCAGTATTTTTAGCATCAGTGATTAGCACGGCTGCTCTCTCAGCCGAGTATGCAGGCAGGGGAGTCTCTGCTCTTGATCTTTGACCCCAGAGAGAAGTGCTGACCGAACCCTAAGCCAAGCTTCCTGAATCCTCACTGATGGCTGAGTGAGGCTTAAAAATATAAACCCAGAAAACAACACAGTTCACAGATCATTTCTGAGTGTTTTCAGTAGTATTAGAATTAAATTCCATTATTTTTGTCTTCAATCTGTTTCATTGTTTAATTACATTCTTAGGCTTCATGCCAACACAATCGTTTTGCCACTGTCACTGTAGTGTCAGTGAGAGCGCAGCCCCAGTAACCCCGACTGTTAGTGAGTGCTGTGTGTGATGTGTTCGCTGCCTGTTGGTGCTGCTGACCTGTCAGTCTGAACAGCGTGGCCTTGCGGAAGCTGTCGGTGTGTCTGTATTTGAGCAGGTGGAGGCGGGCCAGCGTGGCGTGCAGGAAGAAACCGGGCTTGGCGTGGGACTCCAGCGAGTCATAGCCGGGGATCCAGGTGTTCCTGTGGAGGACGAAGGTTGCTCCGTCCCAGAATGCCCCTCTCTCCTCCCACTTGGCCAGCGTCACCTGGCCGCTGGGGCTTGCGTACAGGAAGTAGTTCGGCCTGTCGGCTGCCTCAAAGGACACCCGCAATGTGTCTGTGGTGGAAGGTGGAAACAAAATCAATCAAGGACACTTCGACAACGTAAGTTTTCATTACAAAATGTTCTTGCTATAATGTATAATTCATTGTTTAAATGAACTGATGTGTTCACTCTTATCCTGTATTATTGGTAATATATTGTTTTGTAGGATTTTGTTTGTATGAATGTAATTGGCATGAACTTGATGTGAAACTTAGCTGCCTTCAGATCAGCATTAAAAACAGATTTTATCTCAACAGTTTCTTTGACCTGGATAAATAAAAATAAATGTCACCAAATAATTTACACATTTAAAAGACACAATGTCCGTGTTTCTGTTTCTGTTCACCAAATGAATGAAGGTCCAATATTCTGAAGAAAACATCAGCCTCTTTAGCTTATAAATACTCCACTATGAAAGACAGAAAGTCTGGATATTGCACATGGCCACATTGTGATTTTAATGCTATTTAAATTGCAAAAAGTGTCTGAATTCCTCTTCAACAGGATCCAGAGTACAGCAGTATCACAGCTCACTTGCAGTAAACAGTGAGACCAGCTTGTTATAGTCTTGGCTTGCTGACCAGCCTGCAGCTCAGGTTGCCATATTAACATTTGGCAATCTGATCTCTGAACCCCTCTGCCACTGGAAGTCAATGGAAGTCCATCTCCTCCATCAGTGTTTTCATTGGCATGCCCAAATCATTCCAAACACTGTTGAATGCAGTGGAAGAGAACGCAGACTGGCTGTCTTTCAGTCAGAGCAGAAAGAGTTGAAACTCAGGATGGAGGAAGAGCAGCTGGCAAACGGGGGGGAAAAAAAACAGGACGATCTGCTGTGTGATGCAATGACATTTGGTGACATTTCAAATTCAAATACTGTTTAGTCAGTGATTGGCTTGGCTGGTGATTGCTTTGCCCTACATGTCACATTCACCCATCCACACACATTCATACACTGATGCCACAGCATTCTTGTCCAGGATCTTGCCTTGAGGACACCTGGACATACAGAGAGAGGAGCTGGGGATCGAAATGCCAACCTTCTGTTTTGAGTAGACTACAGAGGTTTCAGATCAGAAAACAGAAATAGTCTTTCATTCAGCAGCTCTCCGTATTCTGCTGACAGAAAAACATATCGCTGTGCTATCTACACAAAGATTGAACTTTCCCAAACTCCACTACAGAAGTTCTCTTTCATCCACTGATCCTGCATCTACTGTATCCTGCATTAGTAAAGCAGACACTTCTTGTTTTCTACAGTGACACTAAATGAGGTAAAATAAAACTAAAAAGCCTCTCAACTAACCACAAGGTTCCCACACTCACTCACGCATACAATTCAAGGACATCTCAAGGTCTTCATTGAGGAATCACTCTTGTAATTAATTAGGAATTCTTAATTGTGGACCTTTTTTAGAGCATTAATTTGAAAAGAATTCAAACTTTTTTTTTGCATCTAACTCTCAGATAAATAGCTCTTACTTCTGACAAAAAGCAAAAATGAAGGAGAAGACTGCAGAAAGAGGCGGGAAAACTCTGCACAGAAGAAATCTCTGTCAGCTCTTGTAGTGAAATGAATCCTACACTGTAAATAAAGTCGAACCCTGCAGTCCGATTAGACTCACCGTGTGGTCGGGCTCTGCTGAGGCCCGGCGTCATCATGAACTGCGAGAGGACTCCGGGGGCGGCGGTGGTGCTGAGGTTGCCCCGCTGCAGGAACACAGAGCCACTGGACCTGCTGGCTGCCAACAGCGTCGTCCGATCCCTGAAGGTGATCAGCCTGAAGGGACCTTTCCCCAGAACTGCAGAGAGGAGGCCATATTAGTGCAGCAGTGATTATTGTGAATGTACACATCATTTATAGATCAAACTACATGTAAGTATAAGTGTGTGTGTGTGTGTGTGTGTGTATGATGTAGTGGTTCAAATAGCTCATAGATCAGTGGAGAGATTCTTATACCTTTATTGTAGAATTCACAATCATACGCTGCAGAGAGAAGCACAGAGACAGTTAATAACAATAATATTGATAATAATTAATCAAAGCACTACTTATTAATTAATCATATTGTATTCTTTAAAGAATTTTAAAGCTGTAACTAATGGTTTTATTTATTATTATTATAATAATTATTACAGTTGTAGGCTTCAGATTGAATCAAAGGCTATGTTCACACTGCAAGCCTTAACGTTCAGTTCGGATTTATTGTTCAGAACACATTTTTTTGTTTGGTTGTTCACATTATTTTCTGGATGTGGCCCATACCAGTGGGAACAGGTCATGGCCCTGAAGTTACCCGCCTGACGATCGTAGATCTTGAGTGACATAAAAGTCACATGAATTCTGATATGACTGTTCACACCGAGGTCACATTGCAAAGAATCAGACCTGTATCTGATTTGGATCACATATGAAATTGGCCCAAATCAGAATTGAAAAGATCAAATTCCATGTGGTTTGTGGTGTTCAAACTGTCATGCGGCCACTTTGGCCTGCAGTCTAAATGCAGCCTGAGATAAAGAAATAGTTCAGGTTCCCTGCATTCTGACTTACGGCACAGAGACGGGGTGCGCCAGTCGACAGGAACGCCCTGGTGGCAGCAGCGCTGGGCGTATGCCGCCACGCTGGTGCAGAAACACTCACAGTCGCCTCCACGACTGCAGGCACACGTGTCTGCCAGGCAGTTCATGTAGAACCAGGTCACATCCACCTGAACACGGCAAAAAACAAACACTTTTCAACAAGTTACAACCTACAGAATAAGCAGGATGTACTGGGGTCAAGAAAAAGAAATAGCATTCTCAAGTCATAAACTCCATAACTATTTATTTAATTACCTATTTATTTTACTCTACATCTAAGTGTTTGATGCTCAAAAGATTATAAATACATGACAATACAACAATACAAGAGTTTCACAATTACAAACACTGTCACATATTTCTATCATTTCAGGTTGAAATATATTAACTGTAAAAGACAACAGATGGCAAAGAGCAGTTTTAAGAACTCAACAAGAGAAGTAACAGCACTTCAAGAGAGAGTCCAAACTGCAGGCCAGAGGGCTGCTGTACTGTTACTCACCACTGGGTGGCAGGCCTGGAAGACCTCACCGAGCAGGACAGCACACTGACGCTTTGCAAAAGGCTCTCTGAGCGGACTGAGGCTGCAGGGGTGTCTGATATCTGGACTGTTCACACACTGAACACACACAAACACACACAATGGTGTTGAATTACTGCTTTTTATTAGAGGTTGAGTAGTAAAGTCGAAAAAGGTCTCATCTAGTGTAATATGTTGGTTGCAGAAGTGTTTAAGAGACTTTTTTCACACTTTAAAGCTACAATGCTTATTTGTAAAAAGTAGAAGGCTTCACAAGGGTGTTGATGATACAGGTGAGGTGATGTTCACTCACCTCTACTGCAGTCCAGCTGTTTCCAAACTCCTGTGGAGTTGGGGAGTCGATGTTGTCGGGGGTCCGCATCTCGTTCACCGTCTTCATGTCAAAGTTCCCACACAGCCCGCTTAGCTTCCCCTGTACACATCACCAACCACCCTCTTTAATCAGATCCTTTTTATACACTGATATCCACCTAATATCATTATATCTTGAATATGGAGTCTATGCTCGTACTGCAGCATTGGTGCAATACAGCATCTGGCCTCCAGTGGCAGCGCTGAGCACATTGATGCTGAGCATTCCTCCAGCTGGTGAGCGAGGAAGAATGCGCCATGTTTGGTTTAATGTTTTATGAATATCTGTGTGACTAAATTGTTGAGGTTTTCTCTGATAATCGTCATAAAAGCAGACATATCACTCAAATATTTGCTAACTCAAGGTCCATTTATTGGCGTTTACCATAGCTTTCAACCATATTACACCATCCTCATCAGAAAATGGAGTTCCCTCAGTTGGAAAATGTCAAGAATTAACTGTCAAGCTCAATCTTTCAACCAAGAAGTCTTAAGAAGTGCTCAGAAAGGAAAGTTTGAACATCTACAGTTGATAACACTCCCTGTTGAAAGCTCCCAAACAAGCGAGTAAGAGGAGCTTGAGTTGAGATGGTTTTGTCAGTTTCTGGAGTCAAAGAGGAACTGTCAAACTCAGCTTCAGATATTATTTATCCTCATCAGGGAAAGTGAGGGGAGGCAAGAACCAACAGGTAAATGCAGTCTCAATATGAAGAAACATTTTTAACTTTTCAGCTAAATGCTCTAAATGCAACCTAAAGGCACTGAACCGGCGTCCTACCTGCCAACTGGGTCCGACCTGGATGTGGACCGTGGTCTTGCGGTCCCAGAGGACGGTGACGTCTTCCTCTGGGAAATGAACCACTGTAAAGTATCCGGCTGGCCAGATGTACATCGTCTGCTTCCTGTCAATCACACTGGATGGATTCTGCAAGGGAACAAGTATTATACTGAAATATTCTCAGATGACGTAAATATGATTAGGGAACAAAATGTGTTTAAGAACTGACAATGAAGCAATATGAAATTACTGCTAATGACACAAAACCAACCAACAATTTGCTGCTTGTAACCTGCAGCAAATATACTGTAGAAAATATACTGATGTAAGTGATTCTTACTGGCTTCCCAGTGTCGTCATCGAATGCTATGAAGGATCTGCCGATGTTGATCAGCAGAGATTTCCTGCAGATGACTCCGCTGTCGAAACAGTCGACGTTCTCAGCTGACACACTGAGCATCACATCAGCACTGCTCTGTGGAGGAGAGAAAACACAATCACAGAAATCTACCCAAGTCTTAAGAGCTCAGAAATGCTGCTGACGCTAAAAGCAAAAGTCTGTTTTTATTTGTAGCACTACACTAAAGTTCTTCACAATTTGAAATGTGATAAGATTGAGAAATTAGACATTTCCACTGATCTACAAATCATCAAATCAGTTAAGTTTTACTTTTACTGCCAATCAGATGGATTTCTCACTTTCTGAGTAGTCACTGGTTTCAGGTCATGTCAGTAGTGTTTGAAAATCCGTGTTAAAACTAGAGATGAGTAATTTGTCTAAAACCGTGGACGTTTATTTATTTAATTCATTAATATATTCAGATTATTTAAAAACTGGAAAAAACTGCATTGCCCCCTTACATTACTAATTTGCATTATCTTCCTCCTTGTCTTTTCTTTTGATTATAAAAATACTTTTTTTAAGCTGCCAGTGTCATATGATGACCTTCTTAACAGAAGCCTTTAAAAAATAAATGTATTTTTCAGTAAGAAAAAAAAAGATTCCTGCTGAAGAACAGTCCAAAAAAGCTTTAAGTGTACAGACAGTTAATGTCTCTTACAACAAATAAATACTTTCATTACCTTTACAAGATAGACTTTGCATGCACCAACGTAGTCAAACAGCAGCCCATCAAATGTCCTGTAGTGGCGATCACCGTAAGCCATGCACATGGATGGACACGGATGAAACACACACTGGAACGTCCCATGCTGGCAAACACTACAAAGACAGCAAAGCTTCAGTGATTCAGCATCAACTTGTTCCCACTTAGTTGGAGGACATTTTTTTCATCTCTAATGGCCTCCTTTTGTGGAGAGCCTCAGGTTTACAGCAGGCAGAAAAGTGGCCAGTGAATTGTCAAAGGTTGAATCGCCGCTTATTGCGCTATTAGGCTGTCATCTACATCTTCTTCCCTGGCTACGGCTTGAAGGAGAAATGGAAGGATGGGAGAATGACTGAGATCACTGAGAGAGTGTTTCCTTTCACCAGCTATGAACAACCTGAAGCTGAGGGAATCAAAGAGTCATACAAGGGCCCGCTCTGTTTTCCAGGCTGTTTTCTGTCCCGTGATAACAGAGAATTATGGATATCAGGTGGCCACTTTCGCTGATCTGACAATCTCAGGACACAGCGCTTTCAGGCTAAATCTGACTTTGAAAAATTAGCGACGTTGTTGTAGATTTGTCTTAAATCTGACAGATATTGTTGGCAGATGATTGGTGAGGGTAATACAAATTTGTACGCCTTGACAAAATGGATAAAGATCCACTGAAGGAAGGAAGGAAAATTAAAGTGTAGATCATTTCTATTTTAATGAAGACAGTTTTATAGCACAAATGCACAAACTCACCACTGATGGCAGGGGGACGAGACTCTGTCACCGGGGTAATACTCCTTTCCTTTCCATAGACAGGGGCAGGATGCAGGTTCAAAGCACTCGTCTCCATGTTTCAGCAAACTGGGGTTCAAACACAAGCTTGTTAAAGGACAAAACATTTCAAATCTTTATGTTTACTGATATGGAAAATGGAGCTTTGATGTAGTAGTTTGAGATCAAAAGATTCAGGTGATGCACAATGAGGTTTTCTTGGGTTAAATCCTGCAACAGAAGCTTCTTGATCTCTAGGACTCAAGGTGTTTACTTCACTTTGCTGTTTTTTCCATTGAAAATTATGGAATTCACCAATAATGCTTCTTTCAGACACCTAAAAGCATTTTACTACTATAACAAGACAACTTCAGTGAGAACATAATCCAACCAACTATAGCTCAAATGAAAGAGACTGAAACTCATCATAGGTAGATTCTAGATTCACATTCAGTCTTGCCAAAACAGCAGAAGTGTCCATTTACACCTGGGTGATAATAGTTATACAGCAGCTATTTGGCTATTAACACCTGGTGCTCTAGCCATAAACAGCGATAAAGTCCATGTAGGGAGGAGGTAGTGGCAGGCAGGGTTTGAGTCTTATTATTTTAAGTTTTCCGATACGAGTAATTCTTTGATTGGTCAAAAAGCCAGTAGATGTGGTCCCAGCTGAAGGTCTGTGCTGTAAAGCCAACCAGAGTAAGAATAAGCAGATGGAATTGTTGACTGACATCATCAATAGGCCAATAAAAGAGCCTCATAACTCAGTACAATCCAATTTGGAGCAATGTTGGTTATTATTCAAGAGCTGTGGGCTAACAGGATGCTATCATGTTATAGCATAATCATCATTTGCTCCTGTGTTCATCTCTAATCCAGATATGAGGACAGTCCTTTGCCAAGGGAACGACAGAGCCAGAGCCAAAGCAGGTTGGCTTCCAGTGCAGAGCGATGCCAGGAAACAAGAGGGAGAGAGTTTCAGGGGTGGGCGACTGTGGATGAAAAGCGGTAACACTCGTTAGCTACATGAGAAAACCAGACAATTAGGATTCTCAGAGATAGAGAGAGAAACAGTCTTTGTCTGGATGCCTCCATTTGCTTTCCACTCCGCGAGACGAAGCTGATAAGTATCTTGTAATATCCAGGGTTGAGCTATATCCACTGGCGAGGCTGCAGACAATGAAGTGACATACTGAATGGTCCCGCCACAAACCTCAGGTTCATCTGAGTAGAGTTACACCCCAGATAAAACGGTGTTAACAGCTTCCTTTATCCGCCCGCCAAGCTGCCGTATCAATTACTCTGATCAAAGTTTCTAAAATCATTCATTCTCCCGACCTACGTGCACATTATGAATAAATCTTCATAAACACAGCCCTCATTTTGAATTTAATTCTACCAGACGATGTAAAAGTGCCTGATGAAGATGTAGTTGCATAGGGTGGCGACAGGCGAGCCAGACGGCGCAGTGGGTTGACTGCAGCTTGCGATGCATCTGGTTCTGTTCCAGGTTTGTTGTGTGCTGCACAGTAGGCCAGTGAGGTAAGCAGTTGTCAGACAGAAAACAATGAAAGAATGTTGTTTCTGATTTTCTTTCAAGTTTACATGAACATAAGGTACAACTTTATATTCTAAAAGAGAATCCAGGGCACTCCTGGGGCCCAAAACAGCATCCAGTGCATCAAACCACGTTGTAGTCTTTCAGTTGCTCCACTGCATGCATTATGGGCTTTTTCTATAATTTAAATCTTATTGTCGACATTTTCGTTCCTATCCGCTGACTCTAGTTCCAAGTATTGGTTGTCTTTATTGTTACATATGCAGAAGTCAAACATTGGTCACTGTTGTGTTTCTTATAGTTGTCCTTGTTGGGATGTGATGACACATCTGCTTGACCAATCATGACCAATCAGCAAGCAAACATAAACTAGCTATCACCTCCTGAGAAAGGTCGGAATTTAGTTTAGGAACTTCCCAAAGCAAGTCGAGAACAGTGTAAACATAGCAGAACCCATGACAATGGTTACACTAGGGATACCAGTGCCGACTCAGTTGTGTGTACAATTGTTTGAAATAATTAAACACACAAAACACACACACATTGCTATCAAAGACATTTGGGTCAAAACTGGCAGTGTAGTTGCAGATCACTCCCTCGGTTCACCCTCCCCTTCCAACCGCAAGGAGAAACTCCAGTGGCCATGGCACACGCTAAATACACAAACAGCCCTATCTAGAGTCAGTGTTTAGTTTTTATGAAATAAATATGAAAAAATATGATAATTTATAATAAATAAATACAAATATGACGAAAAGTTATCTTTATAAAAGTTCCCTACTGCAGCTTTAAACCACGCCCGTCATGGGACACTGATTGGTCCGAACCACTGTGGTTCAGACACAAGTGCATAGCTTGAAGCCTGGCCAGATTCTTGTGGGATCTCGAGATTTTGTGATCTCTGACATTCACCTGCTCTGTAAGGTTACACCAAACTGACACCAACCCAAACTGCATCTTCAATGAGAGGTTATTTTGTGTGTACCTTTACTCCGTATTGTATCACTTCGTATTTATTTCTAACTCCCTTAAACCTGTCCAGGACAGTCCACAGACAAATAACAGGTTTTTACAGTTGTATATGTACATACTGTAACCAAAACCAAATTCTGGTATGCTGCACGGTCCTGTGTTGCACCTGAAAGTCCAGGTTCATATGAGTTCAGCTGGGCTAATTGTCACAGAATGAGGAATGGATGAATGGTCTACATTTTGATCATAAACAAAGTGTGCCATTGTGAATGAAAACACAATGGATTCTTCTGTCAGCACTTCAGCTAATTATTTCCCATTAGAGGTTTTAAAGTCCTGCTGCAGATGAATACCTTGCAGTTGACTTTGAGTATTTTTTTTTCTTTCTGTTTTCATGATGATCATCTAAGTGTAGTATTAATATGACAGAGGGAACACCTGCTTGTCAAATGATTTCTGGTTTAGGAAAGAAAACCAAATCAAGTTGAACATATATATGTATGTATTTATATATATATGTGTATATATATATACTTTTAACTAGTGCTGTCAGTTAAACGTGTTATTAACGGCGTTAACGCAAACCCATTTTAACGGCGTCAATTTTTTTATCGCAAGATTAACGTTCTTTTTGGCCCAGCACACTTTGTAGTTTTTTTCACATGCTGTTGCAACAATTAGTAACGTTAGAAAAACTACAACACCACACCGGATCTAGCTAGACCGGAAACAAAACAACAGGCACGCCGCACACACTTGTTTAAGAGTAGTAGACGTTAGGTTTTGAGTGGATGGCGAGCGCGAGACGCTGAAATGGATGCCAATAATATTCTGAATGGAAAGTTTACTTTTAAAAAGTTGCCAAATGGTTCCATTGACAAGACCAAAGTGATCTGTGTGTTTTGTCGTTGTGAACTGAGCTATCATCGCAGCACGTCCAGTCTGAAATACCACTTGATGGCCAAACACACAGCTGATGCGAATTCTCCGCCCCCTCGTCAAAGCCAGGCGACAATGGATGATTTTTCAATAAAAACAACATTTGCACAAAGCAAGCCGATCCACTTTTCCATGTTGATAAGAGCATTAAAATGAGAAAAAATAATGGGACAAAAAGAAATCAAGGGACATTAAGAATAGATAAAAATGTGCAATTAACTATGAGTTAACTATGACATTAATGCGATTAATCGCGATTAAATATTTTAATTGTTTGACAGCACTTCTTTTAACCCAAGAAAGAATACTCAAGTATGAGACTGAAGTCTTGACTTTATATTTTGTGATATTGTATTGGTATGTATTGTTATGTTATGTTACTATCATCCATGAGAATATTAAAGTGCAATAATGTGGACTATCAGTACATAAACAAGCGAATTAAAACATACTCAAAGCATTGGAACAAGAGACAAATCTTAAGACAGCTGATAATCAACTACATCAGTTTCATTCATACAATGACGTCCATTTTGAGCCTGATTTGTTCAATCTGAGTTATAAAAAATCCCACTGATTATCCTCAAAACTGTGAAAAACAAGTTTATAAATGCCTGAACTCGTCACTGCACTCACTAATATAACTGTCATCGGGCAGCTGAATGAGATCTCTTTGTGTCCATATTTACCACAAAATGAGTTCACAAACTATCAGGTTCCAGGGAGTTATTAAACACTTGTAGCATGACCGGCATTCTGGGACTGGGATTCAGAGTCTGGGAGATTCTCGTCACCATAAAGGTCGTCCTGCTTAACGTGGCGAGTAGGAATATATGAATCACACCAACGCGGTCAACAGAGGTGACGCGGGGTCGCAGTGACTACAGGGTGTCTCTGTACCTGTCTAACCTTTTCTCTGTGTCACTGTGTTTAATACTGTTAGTAGAAACACTGAGGAACAGGCAGGAACTGATGATATTTACAGACTAGGACTGTCCTGAGAGGGGGAGGTTAATTATGGTGTACAGGTTTCACTTGTCTGGAATTTGACGATATAAAATGCATATTCACCTTCATATTTAAACAATTTAAAGTTATAGATCTGAATTTTTCAGTATGTTTGTTTAGAACTAAAAGGTATGCTTTACTTGAGGGAATTTTTGTTAGTATCTATGACCTACTGTGTCCAGTAGAGCTTTGATTGGGCCCAAAAAGTCAGACCCGGCCTGAGCCAAGGCCAGAAAGATTCAGTGCGTGCCGAACCGAGCCCAAACCGCGGAAGCAGTTTTGGGTCCGAACCCAACTGAAACCAAATTTCTACTGAGAATAAATAAATAACTTAAAGAGTTTATTAAGCGCTAGGGTAAACTACATATATTCATATAATATAGTGTAAATTATTATAAAAACTAATAACAAAATCACTCATTAATTGTAGTTGCATGCATTGTTAATAACATACTAAAGATATATATTTATTTTTAAATCTAATTCTGTCCAAGCCCGACCTACAGCAGCAGTTTTGTGTCCAAACCTGGCTGACAGTGTTGGGTTCAATCGGATTCAAGCAGAGAATCAAAGCTCCAGGGCAAAGTCGTGAGTCGTTATATTTTATATATCACATAAGTGGTTGTTTACTTTATGTTAAAAGTAGAGATGTTCCAATACCATTTATTCCTTCCCGATACAGATTTTCCTACCTGAAATTGAATAACGTATACTACTATTGGATCAGTGCATAAACACATGTACTTGCTGATATCACATTTTATAGGCAGCACCGGAGGAATTTACGTTACTGGTATTGGTATCAGAGCAACTCTAGTTAAAACCAGTAAAGATATTGAACAATCAACCCAGTTTTACTATTCTTTAAACTGTAACTGTAAATTGAACCACTTAGTATACAGTGGGTACGGAAAGTATTCAGACCCCTTTAAAATTTTTCACTCTTTGTTTCATTGCAGCAATTTGCTAAAATCAAAAAAGTTCATTTTATTTCTCATTAATGTACACTCAGCACGCCATCTTGACAGAAAAAAACAGAAATGTAGAAATTTTTGCAAATTTATTAAAAAAAGAAAAAACTGAAATATCACATGGTCATAACTATCAGGAAGCCTGAAAAACTTCTAGTCAGCTTCTAGACTTTTGATTTTATGTGGTGTGGCTCTTTCTTTAGGCCTTTTTTTTGGGATCTGTGTTATAAAATAAACTTTTTAAAGGGGATCACTAATTATTTTATGGGATCTCAAGATAATATAATCTGATATGATGTGTAAATAATATGTACATTTTATCTTGAAATGTGTATTTTAGTTTTAGTTCTTCATTATGTGTTTTTTTTCTTGTTGTGTTTATGCTTCTGTAAGTTCTGCATTTAGGTTCAAGAGAAAAGTTAAGAATATCATTAAAGATACATCCAGTGTATATTAGTGATGTCCAAAAACTGCTCAACACTGAGCTTCTGTTGTCAGGTTCAGAGCTACCATCAGTCAGCTATATAATCTGTGCAAAAGTGTCATAATCTTGGATATGTTTAAAGTGACCCCTGCCTGTGCATATTGTAATCAGGATGACTCTAGGTTGATGTCAGAGAATGAAACCACTTAACCCTCTTTTCAGGCCGACAGCCAGAAGGGATTACAGGGATCATATGACTGTAATCTACTCCATGATGTCTGTCCACCTCATCTGCTGGTTGTGAGAACATTTCTGTCTCCTATACATGATTAAGACTTGTCAAAATATATGGCTGCTAGCAGTAATGAAGAATCCTTTAAACTACAGTTTCAAGCCAACCAGAACAATTTCAACTCAGTCCGGTGACTTTTCTCCAGTGGTTTACTCGCGTTCGTAGTGACATGTTTGCTCAAGCGAAGACCTATTGAATTAACTTGTATTATTATGACCAGCAATAAAAATCCATGGTAGACGTTGTGGGCCTTAGCAAGCCCCCAGGAACAGTTCTGGGCTGTGACTGGCCCAAAAAGACTCTTTTCCACAATCAATAAAAATGTGGATAAATTTTTCCGGGAGTTACAAACACTCCACTGTACAATGTCTCACCTCCCTCCAGGTAACCAGCGTCACAAGGTACTGATTTTTTTTATCCCTGACCCAGTGCCATCCCCTTGCAGAGGCAGTAGGAGGAGTAGGGTCAGAGGATTATTCCTAGCTCGTATGACATTTTTTAGAGAGTCTTTAATCAGTCTGTGGTCCGACCCCCTGCTAACCCCGAAAGCCAGCCTGGTACACTCAGAGCCTTAGATTTCACCAAACCTACACAGTAATTTCTTAACCTTTATTTATCAAGAAAAAGGTGACACTGTTCTGCAGTATCAGACTGAGTCACCTTCATACTTGTACGCGCCTTCATACCTGACAGCTGAGGAACATGACTAACCGCAGTAATATTCAGTAACACGTTAGCAGTGGGACACTTTGAGTTTCAACTCTTCCAACCTCTATGAGGAATCAAACCAGCAGCCTTCCAGTCACTAACTAAAATTAAACGTATCAGTCAGTCAATCTCAGGGACAATCAGCTGCATTATGTTGAGAAAATTTGCCACAAATTTGCAGGATATTGATAGACTGAACTGAGATGTGATAAAGATTCTCGTCCATTTGTTTTTGTATCTGCTACACTGCTTCCTAACTGGAGCGAACAAATTTTTGCGGATGGAGCGCAAATATTTGTCCAGCTACACTACGAACGACAACCCAACAACAACCTTTAGTCAGCCTTGGGTCTACATCGGGGGGCAGCAATCAAAAGTAATCTTCTGTTCCATATTTAAAACATATTTGAGCTTTATAATGTTAATTTCTCGCCGCAGATCAAGCATACCAGTAAGCCAGCAGAACTTCCATACTCTACTATTCAGTGATAGACAAAATAACTTACCCAGGAGGACAGGTACATCCGGCCACGCACGGCTCGTGTGTCGAGCAGGTGAGGTTGAGCAGGTAGGATTCACAGGTGCGCTCACAGGCCACGCCCCTTCCTGACAGGAGGCCATCGTCCCCCTCTGAGCAGTTCTGGTAGAGCTGACCAGCTGGACACAACCTGTCTGTAAGAGGAGGAGAGTGTATGAATATGATGGAGGGAGGATGACAGTTAACTGGCAGGTTTGATGAGCCTCTGTTTGCATGGTTGTTACCACAATGACGATTATGTACAGGCATAGATATTATAAGCACTACAGAATAACACACATTAATGTGACATGTTGAAAAAATCATCTGCCCAGCATAAGAAATAAGAAGAATGAACTGAAAAACCTTTTATGATTAAAGTGGCTTACCACCGTCTGTTGTCTGGGACACCAGTTTACCGTTCAGACAGAGTCTGCAAGAGCACAGAGAAGATAGGAGGATGATGATGATGATGATGATGATGATGATGATGATGATGATAATGATACATGATGAAGGTCAATACAGAAACTACATGGGAGATTAATACATTAATAAATGTGAAATTAAATCTCTTTCACTTTTGTGCACACTAAATATTCTGAATCAAGCCCTGAACTCTTCCTGTTAAAAAAAAGGCAGACGCACTTTGTCTGCTTGTCTGGGTTGTGACTGACAGGAGTCATTGTCAGTGTAACTGAAGGAACATGAGGATATCTGACCCACAGCAACAACCGGAAACTTAACTTTTAGACAGCTTTGTCTCCGTCCTGATACCAGTGTTCTCATCCATAGTAATGGATTACTTTAACTAACTACAACTGTTAACTCTGCTGTCTCCAACTGTTTGCTAAATGAATTGCCTAAAGTCAGTGAAAAATGTTTCTTTAATCGTCATCATTAGTAACATTAAGATATGGGCAATATAAAATCCAAACAACAACAGAAAGAGCAAAAGCTGCAACTGTCCTTTAAGATGCGGGAGTGTTTTGAGGGTTAAGTTTAGGACGACAGAGACGGACGAGAGGATCTTACTGAACACCTGCTGACGTCATGATCACATCTCCAGGCTCGTAATCTGCTCCGAGGAAACTGCAGGGACACTCGCTCCTGAAAAACCACACAAGTAAACAAAAAAAAACCAAAGCACATACAAACCAACTCCAACTCAGTTCACAGAGAGAAAACATCAATATGAAAGTGACAGAGGCAACAGTTGTTTGTTTCTGTACACAAAAATACATGGCTTTTAATCTCCTAAAAATCTCCTAAATCCAAAATCACGCATCAAGTTTTGAGTGATGTAAACCAGACACTGTTTAGTTTGTTCTTTATTGTGTAAAGAATTATGTTAAAGAGGGCTTTGTGTTACCTTAAACAGAGTATTACAGGTAAGGGGATAGGGGACTGATAAGCAGGCTTTAGGAGGTAAAATCAGTGCTGGAAGACGTCAAATCAACAACCAAACCTCCTTCAAACAACTTTATCTGTTTATACTAAATTCTATTAAATTAAATTCTTATTATAAAAACATAGAGCTGCAGTGGATCTACGCTGTGCTAAATGTGTTAAGCGGAGGCTGAAAGCCTTGTAACATATAGGCCAGCGCCACACATCGGCCTCTGTACTACAAATTCTTTCTCACTGGTTATCAGATATCTGTGTCGTCCCCAGCCCGAGTGGGAATGAAAGGGGGGTTTCACGGTGAATTCCTTGATGTAACTCTATCACATGGTAAGTAAGGCACCGCGCTGCACTAGGATGTAAAAACCTGGGACATTTAAGAGGAATTAAGCTGCATGTCTTCTAGGGCAGAGCAGGCTGAAAGGGAGAGCACAATTACTGAGGTCCTCTGGCTCTATAACGTCTGCAGGAGAGATACAAGGCTTTCCACTTAAAGGCTGACCTAAACTTCAGAGCAGATACAAATATCACTTTGAGAGGATTTGTTTGGTGGAGTGACTCCAGCCAGTTAGCCGTTTAACGAGCTTCACAATCTTCCACAACACCGCAGCAGCCAGAGCTGGAGCTGCTCAGATACACAACAAGGACACTGATTCCCTCCTGAACTTTACGCTAAAATAACGGCACCAATGTAGCAATTTATCGTCTGAATAAAGTAAAAATATATTTCAATGCTACACAAGAGTGTGATAATTATTGTATCTCTCCTTGTGTTGCTATGTTGCACAGAAAACTGGAGGCTGAGACCCCGCCCCCTCAGTCTTACCTGTGCACACAGGTGTGTGTTCGATGGTTGTAGAAGGATCCCTGAGGGCAGACGCAACCCTCCTCACACTCCTCCCCACAGTGCTGCGGGATGGAGAGGGCGGAGCAACGGCGCTGGCAAGACGACACGCAGGTGCCGTACTGCATGGTGGCAGGACAGGTGACCGCTGCAGAGAGACATTGTTAGCAGGTTCACATTTTTACTTCATAATTCTGCAGAACAGGACGCTGCTGAGTGATTATTCAGTATCCCTTGGATGTACTGTACTGTTCTAATGTCACAACCTCCTCACATTTAAACCTGCAATTTTTTGGTAAGTTAATAACAGCCGAGTCTCAGTATGAGGAGTGGGCTGGAGAGGTCTGGTGAGCTCACTTCTTTCTTACGCCACTCTGCAGACCCAACCAACACTTACTCATGTGACATAATTTGAGGCAATTTATCAGACTTGGAGCATCTCCCTCTGGAGCCACCAAAATCTTTTTTTCACATATGCAGTAATACTTCCTATGACCTGTTAATAGACTTTACTGTGTAAAATCAGAGGAGTTTCCCTTTAACAGCTGAAACCTTCTAAGTAGCAGTAAAGCCTGGTATCAGACCTGTTTCTGTTAATGTATATTTACAGGTATGTTTATACCTATTCCTCCTAGAACACCTTCTGGTGATCAATAAAGCGTTATCTTTTCATAAAACTTTATAATTTCACTTCTCAGGTGATTTCAATCTAAAAAGTTCAAAATATGCTATAATTTTTTTAATTGTGTTCCCAAATCCTAAATGTTTATGTTCAGAAACTCAACTGTGAGCATCGACACAGAGCGAGGAGGAAAGTTTGAGATTTGGATCTGATATCAACAATAAAGAAAAGAAAGAAAAGCCTTCCTTCAACACATTATTATAATTCATTTATAAATTCATCTGTCCGTAACAGCGAGAGGTGAATCCTGGTACAAACCAGCCTCTTTGACCTGTACACAAAATGTCTTCGTATGGTAGAACGTGAATACGTCGAATACTCACCACAGTCGGGTATCTGCGATCGAAAGTCAACGATGACGGAGAATCTGCGACAGTGGCGTGCATAGTGGGCCAGCGCAGAGCAGAGACAAGGCGTCCCGCACTTACAGGTGTCTGAGCGACACTGCTGATGGAAGGATGTCGGACTGAGGTACTCGTGGCAGGCGGAGAACAGATCCTGGTTCAGTATGTCGCACATCTCTGAGGCATAGGCCACTGAGCAGGGGAGGGAGCAGGTCGACGTCATGAAACACACATTAACACTTTAGTTAAAGTTATTTATATATTAAAATCTCTAATATATATCACTTTATATACCACACAGACTTATATATATATTCAAACATATCTACAGCAGCTTCACAGTAAAAGTCCTCCAGGAATTTGATGAGCTTTAGAGTGCTAACTAAATCTATATCAAAATCATTTCAAAATTCTTTATGATTTAGGGTTAATAAAAAGATGATCTGTCGACAAAAAAGTGGTACAAAATGTGAAAATACAGATTGAGACCAAACGGATTTATATATTAAGTATATACAATAAGAGCTAGAATAAACTTGCTTTATCAATTCTCATATCATCACAATGTCTAAAATGTATTATACAGCCTTATTTGATCATTTTGAATATTTAGAATGCCAGATTCAGAGATACTGAACATCAGCACAACATATAACACCGTGTATGTCTATTTTTTTCACCAATGAAACAGAAACAGCTGAAGGAAGTAGAGAAACTGACCGGCCTGCTGGTGCGTGTCACAGGGGTCGAGCTGAGGCGTACTCAGGCTGGCTGAACAGGCTGACGACACTCTCCAGGCGTTTCCAAACAGCTGAGGAGTGCTTTCTATCATACCCGATGGAGATCTGCAGGAAAACCAGAGCACAGATTCAGGATGAGCATCAAGTCTCAGGGTCGTTCTCAGTTAGTGTTCCCATTTCTGCTGCAGGTTCCACAACGTTTCCACTTTGACAGAATAAATGTATGTAGCATGCTGACAGCTAGAGCTACAACAACACAGATGTTTTGCGCTAGTCAGGGGGTAAAATATTTCAAAGGAGGTACATCAATGAAAAAAGTCTGAGAACTACTGATCTCATTCACCTCCATTCCCAGTCCCAGATTCCCAGTTCTCAACATCAGAGTCAATACAAGTATTCAAAAGGATATATACATCCAAATGAGAGAACAGAGCTCCCATCCTGTCAAATGTTACAAATTTCAAATTCTTTGAATTTTCAATGTCCATTTTCCACCAAGGAAATCACAGAATTCAAAAACATTCAGATTCATTAAGAAGATTTAAGATTCTGTCATTTTAAAAAATTTAAGGAAGAAACAAGATTCAAACTGAATGCAGTGACAATTTTCAAAGAGAAGTTGAAAGATTATGTGCAAGGAAAGTTGGAGAACATGCCTGTTCTGGGCTGGTGCTATTGTGCCACCATAGAGCTCCGTCATTATGTCACTGTATACGTCTCCAACTTTACCAAGGTTACATTAGCTAGCTAGCTGTTGTCAACATTACATACTATTAATTTCTCACATCAATGTGGGGAAATGTGAGCTACCTAACCAGCTAGCTCAATGTGAGGTTCTGTTACACAACTAATAAACACATAGCTGGCTGGCCATGAGGCGCCCCCAGCCCATGTTGTAAGCGATTCTTGGGTACGCCAGCAAAGTTTTCCTGGCTAAGAGTGAGTTCTTTGGTTGTCCAAACGCAAGAAAACTGGTTTGCGATGAGGCACCAACTCCAAACCAGACAGTTTTAAAATCTGAATAGCTGAGGAAAGGATCTTCTATTTGTTCTAGCCATTAAATGTGTCAATTTGTGTTTCAAAAAATGTTCATTATGTCTGAAACAACTGTAAATAACTCCATAAACTGTAACTACTGTTGCTTCAAGCCTAGTAGAACAGAAGTCAGTGATTAGCATCAAAGGAAATCATCATTTTAAAGACTTTTCAGAAGAGCTTTGGGCAAAGTCAATTCCAGTTTTCTATCTAGTAGCATACGACCACTTCAGTCACCGACTGGGATGTATATCCATTTACAGCTGTTAGACAACATCCGCCCATTATGGTCGGCCATTACGCTACGGTACAGTGGAGCCCCTATTCCGCTAACAGTAAATTCCTTGTTGAAGTGGCGTGTCCAGTTGGGCGCTCATCTGGCCCGCCTAAAAGAGCTGATCAGAGAGCGAGGCTTTTGATGCCGAGCCGCCGAGCCAGTGTGCATTACAGAGAGAGAGTGTGTGAGAGAGAGAGCACTTCACCATCACCTCCCTCTCTGCCTCTGAAACAGGAGTATGCTCCCTCTTTTTATCGTTGGAGGGAGGGTTAACGGAGGGCGCGGGATGGGTCAAAGGTCAGCCAGCACACACTTACAGGAAGTCATCTTGAATGTTGCCGTTGAAGGTGCCGCACAGGCCAACCGTGTCGTCCTTCCACAGCTCGTCGGCCTGCAGGTAGAGGCGAAACTCCTTCCAGCTGTACTGCAGACGCAGGCCGAACGCCGTCTTCACCTGGAGGAACATGGACGACAGCTCCTGGATGTGGAAGGTGTCTGCGGGAGACGCGGGAGGAGAACAGGAGAGGAGATGCTGATAGATGGGTTCATATAAATGGATATAAATTCACTTTTCCATAAAACATTGTTTACATCCATTTTCACAAGCTACCAATCTGTTTCTTTCCTGCTTTTTGCTGCTTTTTGCTACGTGTCTTGGCACATTACCTGTTAATCAATGAGATGTCAGCAGGACTATGTATAATGTCACTGTGTACTCATGTCTGCACACAAGATACAAACGTTAAAACATTACTCCCACAGCACTAATAGTGGTTGAAAACTCCACGTGGGTGCCTTTAACTTTCAACCAGCTTTGTATCATTACAATGTGGGTAGTATATGCAAATGTGAAAATATGCAATTACGAAACGCCAAGTCAGACTAGGCTGTGCTGATAAAATATTAATCAACATGACTTACTGCATTGACTATTAATTGCCTCAGGTGTTTTCAGAAACATATTTTAGAGTACTGTTCAGCTGTAAAACGAGAAATTATGTGACCAGGCCGCCAATTTTTTCTGTTTGAAAACGGACAAGGCAAAACCAAGCACCACCCAACTCGTAGTGTGTCACCCACGGGCCAGAGCTTCTGGTTGCTGTAGAACCACATCCTGTTTTTTCTGGTCACCTAGGACCAATTTCAGAAATATTTGCGTCTTTCTGCTGCATATACAGCCCATTTTTAGGAAAACATCATCTTTCCAGCTGTGAATTTCTTCTTAAACCCTGAAAATCTTGCTTCTGACGACCTTTTAGTGATGTAGAAGTGTACTCTTGGGTGTGCCAGTACAGTGTGACATCACTACAGGGAACACAGCTTGTCAACCTGTTGTTCTTTAACTGATGGATGATGATTTCTCCCTGTGTTAGTGTAGAATGTCTGTGCAGTTTTCTGGTACCAACCTTTATATAGAAACCTAAAGAAAACATTTACAGCTTTAGATCAGTGAAACATTTTCTGCTTTCAATTCAACTCCAGTGAAGCTGATGGAAATCTCAGAGGGCATCACTTTTTACTAATTTTACTTGATAAATGCTAAACAACTGTCTAACTGACAATTTAGACTAGTTTTGGATGTGTTTAAGTTTGTAGCTTGAGATTCATTTTGATTTGTTGTCTCTTTGTGTCTGTCAGCAAGCACTTTCCATTGTAAATGAAAGGTTCTATAGAAACAAAGACTGACTGATTGATTAATTGACTGACAGGAAATACTATTAAATGGAGCCAGGAATGCAAATTACTTTGTCCAAACCTGTTTGTAACAGAACATTAAGTGCTAAGTGTTAGTGTTGTTGTTATTCCTTAAGGTACCAAAATATCAGATCATTCTCACACAGTTCATCGCCGAACATACAAAAGGCTGCTGACTCGATCAACAGAATGCCGCAGTCTTGAAAACACTGGTGTGAAAAGGGAGTAATACTCAGAGGGAAGGCATTTGTTCAACACAATGCAAGCGCTAACCCAGTAAAGTATTGGGAAAATTTCTGTTCAATAGCACAGCTGTCATTCAATCCGTCTCTGCCATGACCTGTAAAGTGCTGAAAGAAGTCTGGCGCTGGATGTGAACAATGTTGGAAGATAGTAAAAGATGTGGGAGTTACCGTCAGAATAGGGCAGGGAGATGCGGTACTGTCCGGCCATGAAGACCTCTCCAATGTGACTCAGTGTAATCTCCGTTCTTGGATCCTCGTCAATAACCAGGTTAACTGATTGGATGCAGGCCCCATCCAAATTCTGCAATTGAGACAAGATGGCTTGATAAAGCATGTTGGCATTATCCCAAACAGCAGCAATTCAGATACACAACAGGACACATAATGAGAGGGAAATAATGGGAAGAGAGCGGGAGGTATACAAGAAGGGGAAGGAACGTAAAAACAACTTTTCTTTGTGTTTTTTCCCTCCAGTCTTTGTACATTTATGAAGTTGGGTCATAAAGCTCTGGAATATGCATACTTTTTTGATAAAGTTAGGCCTATAACATTACGTTGCTCCCTCCCCAGGCAAATTTCGCTACCAGCATCTGTCCATTGATGCACAGTTACATACAGCATTACCAATAGTAGGCTAAAAATTTTAATCTTGCAGCTAGTGCTGGAGGATAGGTCTAATATCTGTGTGAACAAGGTTTTGGGGAGGTTTGGGTGATGGTTAGGTGTACAAAGCATGTGACTCTGACACCAGAGAACACATTTCCTGTTCCTGGTCTCCTATAAATGTTACCTTGCGAGGCAACTGGATTACCAAAATGGCGAGAATCCATCTTGTCAGGCTTCAAGTTAATGTGCTTGTGTCCCACCACAGTGGATCTGACAAATCAGCGTTCTATGAACTTTGCAGTGGTTTAGGTTTGACGGAACCGGAAAGAACAATGGCGGCTGCTAAAGAGATTGGAGAGTATTTCTTCATTAAAAGCCGTAGCTGCCAGTAGTTTCTCATGTGTCACCGACTGACCTGGTACCACTGCTGTTGGACACAAGTGCATAGATTGAAGCATGGCAAGAAGGATTTGTGTGTGATCTTCGGTGCCTCGCAAAGTTATCTGGTGCTGGGCCAGTAAAATACAGTCTGTTTTTAAAGAGGTATTTTGCTCTATGAAAGCAGTGGGAGTGAGCTATAAGAGCTCAAAGATATTGAAACAATACAAAGACATTCATTATAACTGCCTTAAGGTGATCTAGCCTTAACCGTAACCAAGTAGTTTTACTTGCCTACATTTAACCAAAGGACGCAAGAAATCAGAAACTGAGCATATCAGTCATTTCGGGTAATATGGCCTGCATGCCAACCAAAACTGTTGACAATCCGTCCAATCTGTGACAGACACTGGCGTCCCTAAGCCAAACATTGTCATGGCAAAATGATCAAAAGAAGAGTGCAATTTTGTATGAGCACTCTGTACATTTCGAATTTACTGTCAGAAAATGGAAATACTCAAGGAAATCACAAGTCTTTAAAAACTGTAAGTACATCCATTTAGTAGAAGTACGATTAGTTTCTCTGCTGCTCTGATATTTTTAAAGTAAAGAAGGCTGTGCGTTGCTGACAGTAAGCGATCTACCTCTATGAATCGTCTCTTTCATAAGTGGCAGAGTCCCATAGCCGAAAAGGTTTTAGCAACCCCCTCCTCCTTCTACTCTTCCCATCATTCACCTCCTGTTTTCGCATAACCTTCTCTCTGTCCAAGTCCCCCACCCCTCCAGTGCCTCTCTTCACCTCCCTCCTCACTACAAAGCCGTCCACAGCTCTGTCAGTCAGGCCAGATAAGGTAATCCTGTTCAGTTGGCTGTTAGAGGTCTCGGGCCTCTGCTCTGATGAGTGGGACATCTTATATCTCGCCTCCTCCCCTCCATCGCCCCCTGTTTGCTGAGCAGCTCAAAGGCTGCTGGGAAATTGAAGGCTTGGAAGGGAGAGGAGGGGAGAAGAAGCTCTCAGTCTTTTGTTGCTTTTCATGTTCATTATCTGCCACAGTTTGATCGAGACGTTTCCTCTAAGCTTTCATTTCTCTAAGTCGCAGCATGGCTCTTGAACAAAAATGGACCTGGGCTCAGCAGGGATTATTGAGCACTTAAATAATGATATGATCTACATGACAGACAAATTGCATAAACCTGTAAGTCGAGACAGCAGAACAGTTTGATTGCAGAGGCTGAAGTGGGAGAGGGGTGCAAGAGAGAAAAAGAAAAGTAGTCACCACTCAATAGGAAGGGGATTTTTTTAAATAAAATAAAATGAATGCAGATTAAATATAACTCACGGCTCCACAGGGGGCGTTCTGGATGGTGACTGTGAATTTCCCGGAGTTGTGACTTTTGGCGAGGACATATTGACATGTTGCAGGAAAGGTGTAGAGCCGCCCGTCAAAGGATTGGAAATACATATCGCCCGTCACAGAGCACTCGCCTGTAGAGCGAGCGAGACATTTTTCACTTATTTCCTACATTCATCCAAGGATACTTTCAACCACAGTCTGGTAGCTAGAGGGCGGACACCTTGCATTCATCTTCCTTTCTCTAGAACTAGGTAACTTCGGCTTTCCTTGTCAAGCCACCAGGAGGAACACCAGGCTTTGAAGCCAATTGTACAAAGTAATTACAACAACGGCCCACCCACAAAAGACTTTTTCCCATAAGGGTACATTGTGGAAGAAGCAGCTGTAAATTCAAAAAATCTCAACCCCCGCGAAAATGACTTGAATTTGACCCATTCAGTCCGATAACATTTTCAAAGTCTAGAATATTCTCAAGATTCAATTATTTATCCCCATTCAAGTTAACGGAGGGATAAACTGGAAGTTAGCCAGCTCGTCCAGCGGAAGTCTCTAGTGCCACAGTGGCCCATAGAGCGTGAAACTATGTATTCATCCGGGAAATAGCTTTTTCGGCTTCATGCGCCACTGGGCAGCTTTCATACGAATGAAGGCAGTGCCGCCTCCAATACTGTATCCAGTTCTCTTTATATATCTATGTTACTTGTCCTTTTACTTCCTGGTTTGTTGTTCTCTAACAGGCTCTTTCTAGATGAACTGCGCGTCCTGTGGAAAGTGGACGAGATCAGGCGGCAACAGCAGGAGGTTGCGATAAAAAGCTGCAGTCACATTGGACAGCTTCCAGCACCCTTCAGATTATATAGAGGAAGTCACAGTTACAGCCTGTTAGAACCATCTGTAGGCTACCTGTAGTTTTTATAAAGATTTGTTTAACAAATTAAAGCTTCAGTGGACAACGTGACGTTCTGCCAGCAAACAATAACATAGAGAATGTTGATTTTTGACAAAACTTAGTTTTTGTGGTCAAAGCTTAGAGCCAATCGGCTCTTTGATCAGGTAACAGCCAGGCATTTCCTGTCGCACCCTGAGTCTTGCAGTTGGTGGAGGGCAGCTATGGCGCCTGGCTCTAAAAACTGTACCCACCTAGGTCTTTTGAGGTTATTGTTGCAGCATCAAGTCAGACACAAACCTAACCAGCATGCATTGCAGTGAATGATTCTGCGCAGGCCTGGCTCATCTCAAATGGGCCTAGTATTATCCTTCTGGGAAGCATCTTATGCCCTCGCACCATATTGAGGGAGAAATTATATCTCTCACTGCCCATTTTTACAAAGTTTTTTCCTTCCTGTTCTACTCCCTCCTTTGCCCTTTTATTATGACTCTTATTATTTTTTTCTCCCTAATTAGAGAGCCTCCTCCTTCCCTGCCTTTCTTTATAACTATAAAATGTTTACTTCAACATATATTGGGACTTTCTTCTCCCTGGCTCCAAAAGTAGGAGACATTTTCCTTCCTTGACCTTTGCAACAATGCTTCTTCCTTTCATTTTCCCAATTAGGGACCTCTCTCCTTTCTTGCTCCCTAACTCGACAGGTTTACATGAATCTCGAGGAAAAGATGATTTGTTGAGAGCATCTTTAGGCTGTAATAAAATTATCACAAAAACATTTTCAACCACCCACCAAGAAGGAAGGCACAAACCTGGGCAGCTGTAGTCGGTGCAGTTCCACACTCCACCCACGCATGTGCTGAAACAGAAAGCAGAGACGTCCACAGGTGGGGAACATTAAAGGCTGAGCTAATCAGCAGGATCACTGACAGAAACTGGACACACCGAGCCCAGGTGGTCAGATCTGAGAAGATTAAAAGGACTGTATGGAGTCTGCAGGATAATATGCTGCTTTTTTAATACATCATTATGACATGAAATACATCATGGTCTCACATGTTTTCATCTAGGGTTCATTTAATATCCAAAGGGAGGATAAGCAGGTTATTAGAGTTGAGTTTGAATACTGTACAAAGCATGAATCCGCCCAAACATTGTATGGCATAAAAGAACATGATTTGAACTGGTAAATCCGGAGAGGTTAAACACTGCTCACCAGTTGTTGCATTCCTCCTGCAGCATCTGTCCAGATGGATAAAACATGCCGTGGTACTCACAGGGACAGTCAGAGGGCGTCACACAGCCTCCGTCCTCGTAGATCAGACCTGAGGAGAGACAACAGCAGAGACAGACACACCAAAGATTATTGCTTCATATCATCTGGAGTTAAAAACATCAGAATACTGACAAGATGATGCTGTGTTTTTAATAAAAGATTAGATGTTAATCAAAGACTTTTGAAGGATGCAAAAGAAAACTGATGACCAATTATGTTATAGAGAGAAAAAGTTGCTGGTTTATATTAAGGTCAGAAGACAAGACAGAAACGGTAATAAAAGGGGTATTCGCAGGAAGTCTTTTGCAAGGAATAGACACCACAATAGAATCTGAATAGACAATCACCATCAGGACAGTAGCACCCATCCAGGCAGGCCAGCTTGCTGTCGATGCATGTTCGCTCCAGGTTGCAGGATGCCGGGCAGCAGCTGATGCATTCCCTGTACTGCAGACCTAGGGAACACTGCTTCGCTGGTCGCAAAAATGAAACACAACATAGATGTCAAAGTTTCTACGGAGAAAACAGACACTAGAGATTTCCCATGCAGCAGACAAATCGAGCATGTGCTGTGTCTAAAGTCATGTTATGTGAAATTTATGCAAACTAATGTCAGCACCAGTTTGATTGCTGTTCAATTTATATTTTATGTTGTTCACCAGCTGAGCTTTGATTAGCACTGCAGATCTATGTGTGTGGCAGGCAGTACCCAACTTTAAAAACAGATGATTTTTAAGTAAATAAAGAAGTTGAAGCTGAATATTCCTGTCTGCATGTAAACTTAACCATGCTATGTAGTTGATAACGTGGACAGTAAATAAATCTTCTGCAGCTGACCTTACCTTAGTAAACTAACTGTTACATAAGCTAGGCAACACCAAAACACATATAATGATAAAAACAATTTAATGTTTTTTTTTTTTTTTAAATGGACTAAAATGTTAGAATTTGTGTTATTTTAAGGAAAAAGGTCTCATAAGCTACAATAACGATGCATAATTATGAGTCATACTATATCTATTCATTATTTTTCACAGAGAGGAGGAAGTAAACATAAAATTGAGCTGCTTTAGTGTTTGGTTGAAACGTGCGGTTTCTTGGTCCTCTGTGGCACACACCTTAAAACACCTGGAAAAAACGTACCACAGTGAGGAATGTGCTGCCTCCAGTCGTGCAGTGGGTGGTCAGCGTGGGCGCAGGCCCGGGCATACTCGCTGAACACCTGGCATACCACATCACCGTTGGGACCCGACCTTCAACACAGTAACAAACAGAGAAGGACTATTTGAGCGGAGCCAGGAGAGGTGTGGCCATAGAGCCAGGTACGCTGACCTGATCAGACTGTGCAGCTCAAATAAATAACTACCCACCAGCTGTGTCTCCATCTGGGAAAACCAGAGACATTTCTGTTAATGAAATCTTCCAATCCAAATCCAACTAGACTTTAACTGGGAAGCTACAGCTGATAAGGTTTGTTGTAGTATGGCTGTATCAGTAATGTTCTCAGTCAAAGTGAATCATCTGATTCAATTTGTATCTGAAGACAGGAAACCGTCCTGTCTTTAGCACTAGTCTCTGTCCCAAGTCAGTGTGAGTTAACAGACTGCCAGGGCTAATGTTACTCACAGAAGGGGGGCACGTTCAGGATCATGGACCTGAGCCACCAGAAGACACAACTGAGAGAGCTGTGAGTGGGATTTTAAAACCAGAAAGCAACAAAAGTGCTCACAGTCTTCTTTGTGGACTTAAAGGCAAATATCCAAGAAATCTCAAAAAACACCTCAACTGGGAAAAGATATAAAGATGTGTTCAAAGAAGAGTGATGCCCAACAATATCTTATTTAACATTGGGAAACTACCCAGCAGATGTCAACAAAGAAGGAAAAGGAAGGAAAGAGGCAACAAACCGGAAGTGCAGGATGTTATTTTTGTTAAATTGGTTACTTCTGAGATATGCAGTTTCCACTACTGAATAAGATTGCATTCATATTCGTATTGCGGCAATTATCGGCAGCTTAAGGTAGGATTGTGTTTTTTCAACTTTTCGCCACTATTTTCAGCATCCCTTGCAGTTCCCACCACCGCAGCCTAAACACACTTCCCACATTCAAATGAATGGGAGGACTAGCCATTTTGCTGCAAAGAAAACCTAATTTGATGTGAATACATCCTGAATGTTGCATTTAACTGTGTTCCCCCACACCCTAAAGTTCCTGTATGAAGTGCTGGATCAGTGCGGCCCTCAGGCTTCTGTCCGGCTCAGATTTCCCTTGAAGTCCGTGAAGTAAAATGCACGAAAGTGAAATACTCTCTCATTTTCTTTAAGAAGAGCAAATAACAGATGCACAATCAGGTGTTTAATTTCACAATTCAAATGGCCAGATTTAAATGAAAGGTATCATGGTCCCCAAAATTATAACAATTTTGGGTCCTTTAATTAACCTTTACTCATGCGATTGCATGAGTAAATGAGTTGCATATTCATGCTCCCCTGAGGATGAATCCTTTCCATTTTGAAGGCTCCAAACTATCACAGGATCTCAAAAACAAACTCCCATTAAAACCTGTATGCTTTTGGTGACACCCTGACCTTTAATCAAAGGCCACTATCCAGATAAAGTGAACGTGAGGCAGATCCCAGCCTGCTGATCTTACATGCAGAGGTCGTTGGTGCAGCTGGCCATGTAGGACAGCGGGCTGACAAAGTCGTGGCAGCTCTGAAATGGCGGATCCAGCAGCATTGCACACACCTCCTCCACTTTCTGCAGACACACAAAAAAACACACACATTCCCGGTCATTAAAAAACAATGTGTCAGTTCGGTTCCCTGTGTTAGTATTCAGTGTTTGTGTAGGTGGAGCAACAGGAAGGCCTACAGTTTCTATCAGACATCTTACCAGCAGGACGTGAGTTTCGACTGCAGTACAGGGTGAAGAGAAGTCAGAAGTCACCATGGGACATCGGGTCTCGTGTGGCTCCGCCTCCATCCAGCTATTCCCAAACATTTCTATGTCATGAGTCAGCACACCTGGAAGAGAGAGAACCCACTTTAATATAATGGATGACAATGTCGAGGCCAGTTGTGTATACTTTACATCACCGCTGGCTATTTTTCAACGTATACTATATGTTTATGATTTCCCACCAGACCTGGTTTCAGTTCATTTCATTACACTGTGGAAATTAGTTGTAAAAACTTGCCTGAGACTTATCAAATGTTATATGTAGTAATGAGGTGCATGGACTGTTTTTAAAAGCTTAAAAACCAAAATCTGAGATTTTAGAGAGAGGTTGTTAACCTGAAATCTTTTCAATGTAAGAAACAACTCAAATTCAACTTCACAGAATCAAGGTTTTCTTATTGTTTGTCTTATTCTTGTTGCTTTGATTTTCTGACACATCAGCTTACTACTGTAAAGAATTTTGCCAACTCGAAGGTAGGTAGTGAGTATAGTCCTAGGGCTGCACGATACGTTAAAAATATCATATTACGGTTATTTTGACAGATATTGCGAATGCCATGTGATTCACGATCAGTGTGGGAATTATCATTTTTGCATCACACATTTTTATTATTTAAATAACAAAATAATGCTAAGGTGACATTTCTTGGGGTCTGCAACAAACAAACATGATTTCTTAAATCTGGAGAACAATATCTGTATGTCAGGGAGTCTCTGCAGCATTACAATAATTCATTATAATGTTGTTTGTCACACATTTTATCTTGTGCAGCTTTTCAAATTTGCATATTGCACTTGGCCATATTGTGATTTCTATAATATTGTCTATAAATTAGTAAGTAATAAGTACTCATTATTTGACAGAGCTCTCTGATTTGATCCAAATATATGTGGACTGTAGGTGTTGCACTTACACTTTTTCGGTTAATGAGGTAAAATGTGTCCCTGAACACATCCTGAGATTGTTAGATTGATCAGATTACAATCTGGACGTGTTTACATTAGGATCTGTGTGTGGTTAAGTGCTGACGGATTATAATCTGATCCACCAAGATGCAGGTAAAACAATCTGAGCTGCTCTCACGCCCCACGGTCAGATTTTAAGAGCGATAACTTGTGATTGCTGCATTCGAAAGACTACATTTCAGTATGAAGCAGGTTGAAGCTATAAATTGAAACATAATCATTGACAGTGGTGGAATGTAATTAAGTACATTTATTCAAGTATGGTACTTAAGTACAAATATGAGGTACACTTTCTACACAACATTTCAGAGGGAAACTACAGCTTCAGTTACAAGTTACTTTAGAGATACACAGGACATGTGAGAAGCTTATAATATGATGTTTTGTTATAAATTAAACCAGCCCTCACTGCTTGCACGAAGGCTAATAGCGTTACAGTGGAAATCTAACAAGTATTATGGCACATTTACAGCTACAATGCTAGAAATCTATATGCACACAGATATAGTTGTACAATGTAATATAATGTTATTTTATTTTCTTGTATTATATTTTTATTGTATGCTTTGTGTTGTTTGATATGTTGTCTTGACTCCATAAAGTCTTGAAAATTCAATAAAAAGATAAATAAATAAATTAAACTCCCCAGCAGCACAAGTACAGCTGGAACAATTAGCCAATAAACTGATTAGTCAATTGACAGAAATTTAATTGGGAATTTACTATTTTATGTGTTAGTCATTATTCATGTGAGCATTTTCTGCTTTTTCTTGTAATTATTCTTATTTATAACTTTGAGGTTTGGATTTTCAAAACAAGCACTGTGAAGGTGTCACTTTGGACTCTGGGTAATTGTGATGACATTTCTCGCTATTTTCAGAATTCTTATGAAACCAAACAATTAATTGATCAATGGAGAAAAAAAATCAGACTCATAATATTCTAATAATATCATATCGAATAGTAGAACAGTCACAAAGGACATTTTTATGCTCTTTATACTTGAGGCACATTTTCCTGATTATAAATACTGTACATTATTTTACTTAGGTGACATTTTCAATGCACTTTCACCTATAACAGACTATCTAACACATCATTTTAACCATGACGTCTAGCCTGGACATTACTGCTGACATTAAATGATCTTTACCATAACTCGTCTTCAGGTCGTCCTGGACGTCGGCGTTGAAGTTCCCACACAGTCCGCAGGTTCTGCCCACAAACTCTGGGCTGAGTTTGATGTAGACAGAGCCGCTGTGTCCCTCCCAGGCCAGCGTGAAGCCGTGCTGCTGCGTCACCAGCACGTACTGTGAGATCTGTTCCAGCTGCAGGTCGTGGATGTGATGAGGCAACTGCAAACTGAATACAGAGACAGTGAACACACCGTGATACAAACACCACCTTCTCTTCTACAAGGAGCTCACATTGACTGATAGAAAGCATTAATCTTACAACAGATATCTACAAATATATAAATAAACGTTTAGAGCATATTCCCTTCATGCACAATAAAACATAGAGAGCCAGAAGATTTAGACACATAAATCCTAAAGAATTCCTAAAAGAGAGAAAGCAGAAATACAAATACATGAACGTATTTTGTACATGAAGATGTTCTGCTGTGTCACCCTGCTAACCTTTGGCCTTTGAAGGTCACGTTGGTGGCGTGCAGCCGAACCTCACCCTCCCATGGCAGGAAGAGGCTGACAGATCGTTGGCAGGTGTAAGGGGCAGAGCTACAGGCCGGGTCATTGTGGACCTGCAGACAGCAAGATGCAACACGGAGATAAAGTATGTAGGAGGAAGTAAACAGTTTGTGTTGTAGTGCCCCCACTGGCACAACACAGTGATTTCTAAAAAGAACAGAAAGGATCATACTGGTGGGTTTTTTTTTTCCTCCATTAACTACAAACTGAAACATTTATTCCAGAGAGATATAGAAGTCCCTACTCTTCCTTTTTACTGCATTCAATTATGCTCTCACATCAGAGATTTGACAGTAGGCTGCTGAACAGCAACTTTGTTTTTCAATATGTTAAAAAAGTCTCCTGATATCAGTGTTCGGATTGTGGCTTTACCTTAACAGTGAAAGATTACTTTTAATTAGAGCAATAAACATATGAGATCAGCTTTCAATTCCTTGAGGGAATAATATAACAATCCTTTTTAAAGGCTAACAGTAGTATTCTCACTTTAAAAAAAAAAACAAAAAGAAAAAATATATTGACCCTCTAGTATTTGATATATCTTCTTCCATACTCCATGTCATAAACAATAAGTCACGACCATTTCCTTTATTACCATGAACACACTGTAGTTTATTTTACTCAGCCCACAATTGCTCCTCAAATACTCAACAACAAATGGAACTAGAAAATACCCCAACAAATGTTCTATTTGTTTGTTCGAGCAACTTACTTATACGAGTTTTTAGGAAATTATTTGGACTATTTGGAAAAATTAAAGTGAATGCGAACCATTTTGCATTTTTAAGGTTTACATCTTCAGTGGTAACCAATGGTCTTGGAGCCACGCTCCAGATACATTGTTGGTTTTTGGTCTTTTTGTTGACTTTAAGGAAATTGTAGACAAAAACCAGCCTCATCCTTTAAAAACTCTTTAAAAGTCTAGAATTTTTCTTTTAGTCACGTTGAGAGAGAGTTGTGTTTTATTTTGGTTATGCCATGTCTGCAATGTCCTTTCCGTGGAACGCAGGCAGACCATCAAATACTACACCAGCTAATGAAGAAAAAAGCCAATTTTAGCCCCGGCTCTCCCTAAAAGACTGGTTTAAACTCTGAAACTTGACCCTGAAGTAACACACACACAGTTTGCCATTTGAAGGCATTCTTGAGCAAAGTGTGGGTTTGTCTGCGACAAAAAAAAAAAAGCCATCTAACCTCCCTCTAACATCTTCTGGTTGTTAGATTTGCAGCATTGCAGTTTTATATTTTCTTTTTGTTTGCAAATGCTCCCTTTTATTAATACCATTATTAATGCTTTATCAATAATCATAATGCGTTTGGATCTTTTCATGTTCCCTGTTTTGGTTTGGTTTTCCCATACACAGATACAGTATCTGCTGCCTTTTCAGGGGAACAAAGTCCCGGTCTGTTGCAGATTCTTTCAAGGCATAGTGGGTAATTGCAGTATTTAATGGTAATTGACTCTAATAACCAGATAGCTTTCACTAATCTTCAGAGCAAATCTTTTCCTCGGGGCTGAGACTGAACCCCGTAGAAGTCAGAAAGGAGAGTGTGTTTTGGGGCAGGACACGCACCAAGTCCAAACTCTCCTCGACTGGAAGAAGGCGTCAAACCGAAACCTTCTGGGCAGCTTCTAGTCGGGAGGATTTATTTCGTTGAGTCTGAACTAACCTGGACGACGATGCTGGCCTGGGTAGGTTCCTCACAGTCCCTCAGCAGAGTGTACGTACAGCGACCGGGGAAGTAGTAGTAGAGGCCGTCAAAGGTCTCAAAGTTGTACTGACCCCACGTCCTGCACGTCATCTCCCTCTCAAAGCCAGGATTTGGAACTGGGCAGATGAATTGGGGGATAAAAGAAATAATTACGATCTATTAGCGTTGAGGAAAACATTATGGAAATCTAGTTATATAGTTATTTACCTTAACTGAAAAAGTACAAGTGTCCTAACAAATCATTTAGTTTCATATTCACCTTTCCATGACATACTGTGTGTTTCTTAAGGCTTCTTTAATACATTTTTACCCATTAAGGGGCAGAAAAAACAGACGCTGACATAGGGCTAAGGTAGTTAATGTTGGAGAAGCAAGAGACAGCAGGTAGGAAGGCTTGCATTCTAAGCAGGAGAAACTAAACAAAAGAAAGGCCAGGTAATTATACACTAATGAAAACACACCTATGAATATTATATTTCATTTCTAATCTGCCAATATCTCCTCCCAAATGTTACACATGTGACCTTTAAGTTGTTGTATTACATTAGGATTCAATTGAAGTGTTGAGTCCAATATTCACCCTCCTTTTAGCTTTGATTTGGTCTCCACCAACTTGTGAGTCTGGCTATTGTCCACTATTTTCACCAGCTAGTCTCTAAGTCTTTGTGTTGAGCAGATGAAAATGAGGTTGATGAGAAGGCTGATATGGAACCAAAGATTAGATTATTATGCATTAATGTAAAAGCAGGAATATACTAACTGTTGGTTGAGGTGGAGCTCATTTTGAACTATTTTGTATAGGACTGCAACTAATGATTATTTTCAATATGGATTTAAAAGTACCCCAAATCTCTACATGAGCATAGTAAAATAAACGTTCCACCACTGCTAAAAAAAAGAGGAAGCCAGGTGTGTGGTTTACCTGTCTGACATCTGTGTCCAGTGGCCTGATACAAGCTGCAGTCACATGACTCCGACTGAACACACTGTCCTCCATTCAGGCAGGGGAACGCACATGTCTCTGCTGAGAGAAAACAAACAAACAAACAAACAATTACACTGCTGCTCATCGCACTAGAATTCATCATGTTCCCTTCTCAGGTTGTTTGTATCAGTCAGAAATTGACCTGATTCTTACCTGATGAAGGCCTACAGAAACACTGAGTAAAAATGACTTCTGATTCTTGATTTCTGGTTTCTAATCATTTAGAATCACACAGGTAAAAAAGTAAATAAGAACAAATACATTTACAGAGCAGAAACACTATACGTTTCAATCATATACCATCAGATTTTAATGCAAAACTGTGTCCATACATCCATGCATCCATCCATGAACCACCGAAACAGACAGCTAAATTTGCAGCCATCTGTCAGTCTCATATGGTGGTGGAGCCCCAACAAATGTTCCAGTCACTGAACGCACCACCAAACACCAAATGATGGCTCCCCATCCTGCAGTAACACCATCTGCTCGGTGGGCTTAAAGCTTGTCTGCCCAGTCAGCCACGTCCCACACAAGCACAGGTAACATACAGGGGTTTGTGGGTGGTTGGGGGGGGGTCGATGAATAAGATAAAAGCTATTTTCCTTCTGTTCACTCTGTGAGGGGGAAGTAACACAGAGGGCTCACTTGTTGCCCTGTTTAATGCCACATTACACAACTTCCTGGCACTTCAAAAATGGAATCAGGAGGTAACAGTTTGAAAGGTTTGGACCTCTTTAGCCGGAACACCTGTCAGGTTTGTAATGCTACCCCAAAGGCACAAAACAGATAAAACAGTGGGATGATTCTGTATGCCAATTCAGTGCCAATGTAGCTGTGCCGTTTTTTATGCATTTACATTTTATTTATAGAGCGCTTGTCAAGGTCCTCAAGAGACTTTTTGTCTGGGTGTGGAGGTCACATGATGGATGGGTTTCATATTGTTCAACTGGAAGAGGCAGGGTTTTACATCTCAGACCAATAATTAGCCACAGTTCTTTTCCAAGTCTTTAAGGCAATGGTTCCCAGCCTTTTTCCTTAAGGGACCCTTTTCCATCATTTAGTAAACTGATGACCCCTGCTTAAATAACATATCTTATGAATATATATTAAAAACTGTACATTAACCCCAAATTGTTATAATTTCTAACAATAATCCATACTTAATAGGCTTCTTTGGGGGCAAATTCAGTGTTTTCTTGTCCTTGATACTTGGCCATTGTTCTATAGGAATTATTTGGGAAATAAACGGATTTACTTTCTTGGCAAGAGATAGATGAGAGATCATTGTCTGTGCGGCAGGTTTGCAGCCAGAGTCAGGATGCTATTAGCTTAGGTTAACATAATGACTGGAGGCAGGGGGAAACAGCAAGGCCAGCTTTGTCCACAAAACCTCAAAAGCTAACTAATTATACCTTGTTTGTTTATTTGTGCACAGATGGAAATAAAAACAACAACTTGGGGTTTTATGAGGAGATATATGCTTTAACTAACTATTTCAGTTGGTGTACAGACTAAACACATCAAATACAAAGTGTTAATAAGCTTTAGATGTGTTGGTCTGCACACATTCGACATCCATATGAACCTTTATAAACCTACCTTGGATCCTACGAAGCGGTGACTTCAGGGCTTCCTTCGCCTGCCTGGTGAGCAGTGAAATATTAACTGGACGCTCCTCTGGTGAAAAGGCTCTGTTGACTGTGTTTCCAGGTGATGATGGATTTGATGGTGCTGAGCTGGTCAGGGATTGGCCAAATGGTGTTGAATTAGATTGGTTTGGTGATGTTAAGCTGGATGGTACATAGTGTGATGTTTTTGAGATGTTTATGGATTGATTAGTTGCTATTAAAGTGGTTGGTGAATGATCAGAAGACGTTAAAGTGAGTGAGGATTGGTTTGATGTTTTTGATTGGCTCAGTGGTGTTTGGCTGGATGCTGATTGGCTAGATTTTGAAGTACTGCCTGCTGAATGGTCAGATAAGGTCTTGGCTGGTACATTGCTGACTGGTGATTGACTGGCTGGTAATGTGCTTGTTGGTAATTGGCTGGGTGGTGTTGTTCTGCCTGGTGATTGGCTAACTAACACTGTGGTGGTTGGTGGTTGACTGGATGTTGCTGGGCTAGTTAATAATTGGCTGGCTGGTGTTGTGCTTGTTGATGATTGGCTGGTTGGTGTCGTGCTTGTTGGAGATTGGTTGGCTGGTGTTGTGCTGCCTGGTGATTGGTTGGCTGGTGAGGTGGTGGTTGATGATTGGCTGGTTGGTGTCGTGCTTGTTGGAAATTGGTTGACTGGTGTTGTGCTGCCTGGTGATGTGGTGGTTGATGATTGGCTGACTAGTGTTGTGGTGGTTGGAGATTGGTTGACTGGTGTTGTTTTGCCTGGCGATTGGCTGGCTGATGCTATGGTGGTTGGTGATTGGGTGGATGGTGTTGTGCTGCCTGGTGATTGGCTGGCTGGTGTTGTGGTGGTTGATGATTGGCTGGCTGATGTTGTGCTGCCTGGTGATTGGCTGGCTGGTGTTGTGATGGTTGATGATTGGCTGGCTGATGTTGTGCTGCCTGGTGATTGGCTGGCTGGTGTTGTGATGGTTGATGATTGGCTGGCTGATGTTGTGCTGCCTGGTGATTGGTTGGCTGGTGTTGTGATGGTTGGAGATTGGCTGGCTGATGTTGTGCTGCCTGGTGATTGGCTGGCTGGTGTTGTGATGGTTGGAGATTGGCTGGCTGGTGTTGTGATGCCTGGTGATTGTTTGGCGGATGCTGTACTGCCTGGTGATTGGCTGGCTGATTCTATGGTGGTTGCTGATTGACTGGCTGGTGTTGTGCTGGCTGGGGTTTGGCTGGTTTGTGTTGTGTTTCCTGGTGATTGGCTGGATGATACTCTTCTTGATGGTGTTTGACTAGATGGTGCTGTGGTTGCAGATGATTGGTCAGAGCTGAGTGTCCATGAGGAGGCTGATGTCCTCTCCGTGCTGGAGGACGTCGGGTTGGACGTCAGGTTTGACGTCAGGTTGGAAGCTGCGGTCCGGCTGACCACTGAATGACTGGAGGAAGATGTGTTGGTTTCTAACGCAGCAGCTGCTGTCTGGAGGTCCTTCAAGGAGAGAAACTAAATTAACAAGTATTTCATGCAACAGTTGCAACCATTCAGTCATAAAGCCATAATCTGATCCTGCCTAGCAATGTTTCAGAGCCTCTTCCAACCAAATATATTAAATCTGGCAAAGAAAGGAAGGAGCCAATTTCAGCAAACCAACATTAAGTCCTCGTAACGCAGTCTGATTCTTTTAATTAATCCCATGAGTCGAATATAATATCAACCAAATCTGGAAAAACAAGCTCAGCTCTCGGGTGACAGATTAATAAAGATTTGATTAAAATGTAAGACACCTAAAGCTTTTTACAATTCTGTGTTTTGTTTGGGGCAAAAATTCCTCCCAGAATTAGGCTGGTTGTTGCCAAATCGGAGTCCTGACTGGGGAGGATGGAACCGAGGCAGCGCTGGGAAAAGAAGAGGCTCGAGAGAAAAGAGCTGTCATCCAGCCTTCATTAACGACTCCTCTGTGACTTCCAACTCAACTTTCCCATCCAGGTCGACAACCCCACCCTCTCCTCCGCCACCTCCCCCCTGGGTTTTTTCCGATTTTGGATGATCTCTGTTGTATGCGATATGCAGCGAGAGGAGCTTGTTGATTCATTTCATTTGCAAGTTTTTACAGTTTACCATGCAGAGCTGCTGGAACTAAAACATTGATTTTGGAAGTTCTCAGAAGACTAAAACTCTGGAAGAAAAACTGAATATTTTGGCATGCAAATTGTAGTAAATTGTTGTAGATCATGAAAGTCAGGTATTTGACAGAAAATACACATTGAAAGCAGCTTTGGTTTAAATGTATTGGTATTCAGAAACCATCAGTCAAACTTTCTTTCTACACTTTGAGCCTCTCTGGACACCTGAGCTCTCAAACCAAGGCTTTCATCTCAAAGAACAGGAACAAAGCAGATGGCAAGGGTGAAGGGTAGGGGTGTGTGAGGGGGTGCGTGACAATGAATTATTAATCACTGATCGGTATCTGAAGATATCGAGACTGAGCGGGTCAAACACAAATACGGCAGAGTGTCGACCCAGATGTCACAATGCATTGCTTGAACTATGAGTTAAAGCTCAGAGATCTGACATGAGATAGATGTGCTCTCTATACCTGCAACCTGCGACCTGTGCTACTAATTGCTTTGTTCGTTTACTAACCCCTATAGTTTGGACCGGATTCTCACGCCTCTCAGAGCCAAAGGGAAGCCCAACAAAAGGAGCGACCACATTCAGGCTGATGGAGGCTCTGATAGAGTGAAGAGTGAGACAACAGAGCGGCTACTGTATATCCCTGCTGGGACTCCCTTACATGTCTGTTTCCGAGGAATAAATGTCACCGTAGAGCGGCTTTACTTTTACATGCTGAACCGCACAGCAGGAGGGAACAAAGTACATTTTTAATTTGTGTCTTTACGTGTCATCTTGGTATTGTTTCAACCTGATGTCCTGGGAAATTTCTTGTACAGGAATAAACAATACATCTTTGTTTTACAATGAAAACAAAACTATAACTCTAAAATACCATCAAATAAACACACAAATAGTGTAGGTGATGAGACATTTTTGAAAATTTAATTTGAATTGAAATCAAATAGTAATCTTTAAAATGCCACTAGGCAATAAAAAACATGTTGGCAATCTACATCTTTCCCACATAATATATAGTGTTTACTAATGTAGACACTTTATATGATATTGGAACACCGGGCATAAATTATTGGAATCAAAGCCCTTCAGGTGACGGCTTGTTCTTTTCTCTGTGTTTTGGTGTGAGAGTTGCAGATTTTTAGGTGATCTCTGGCTGTGTGTTTGCCGCCTGAAGCAGCTCCATCAGCATCAGTGATCAATGCGGCTGCCTACCTGCCCTCCCTGGGAAGCGGTGTCCCATTTCTGCTGCTTTATCCTGCTGCTCCCGCTGCTGGGACAGAGAGAACAAGGAGAGGTTTGTTCCTGCTGCGGCTTTCCCCCTGACACCACAAACCCACCACCAACCGGGAACCAACCAAACCACAAAAAAAAACCACAACCCCCCCAAAATTGTCAATCAACCAAAGAAGCATTGCCTGCTCCATGAAATACTATCGATAAAGAGCCACCTAGAACAACCAGGGCTGCAACCAACAATCGTTGTAAACATCAGTTTAATCTGCAGATTATTTTCTCAATCAGTGATTAATCATTTGCTCATTAAATTTCAGAAAATATTAAAGAAATGTGGCATATTTTCCTAAAGCCCATGTTGACATAATTTGTGCAACCAAAAGTCCAAAAGCCAAAAAAATCTTCTTTCACTTGACTTTTATAGAGGACTAAAAAAAACAGTAAATACTCACATTTGAGAAGCAACAACCTATTGATTGATTTTTTATTGAAAAATTGCTTAAATGACAAATTACTAAAATAGTTTTAATCAATTAAAGCAATTAATCAATCGTTAATGTTCAGTCTATCAACCAATTGATTAATCGGCCAATCATTTGAGCCCTTGTTACATTTGTAACATGGTTTGAATATTGTTATTATTATTTTTAAATTATTAGAAATTATCAAATCAGGGAATGAAACACATAATACCGAAAAATAGGTTATATAAAATAATAAAAAAATATATAAAATCATAAATATAGCTTGTATTTATTTAAAAAAAATACAATGTATAAGGGCAATAATGAAAATAATATCAAACTATGAAACATCTTAAATTATGATGAATTAATGAAAACAATATATAATAATACATTGCTATTTGAATAGAGAAAAAGAACTCACTTATTAAATTCACCCCAGTCAGAAAGGTTCACTCTCTCAACACCCCAGGACAGATGCGCTGAAACCAAGGAAAATAAATAAATAGTCTAAATAAATAAATTACAATGAAGAAACTCAAATAAAAGGAGACCAACTGAACTGAAAATTAAATCCGGATTAAGACAAGTGAGAACAGTTGAACCTGCAGAAAACACACCGAGCTGCACATGTGGAAGAAACCCGCTGACACCTGACTCAATGTGAACTCTTTAAAGAAGAAATAAGATAACATGTAGGACTTTCTGTATCTTCATTCTCATTCAGAAATCAACCATCTCCCCGCGGTATAAACAGCAGCTCGGAGGCGACTCACCTTGATAAATTAGGATAAAATACAAAGATAATAAGTGAAAAAGCCTTTTCCAGCTACGTCTTAAATAGGGATCCATTCGTGTTTCGCGGATCCGCAGTCAGTCGGGTTTGGACAGCATCACCTGGTGAAAACCCTCCGGCTGGACTCCCGCTGCTCCCTGCGCTGCTCCATCCGGCTCATCCGCGAGCTGCCCGCCGCGCGCCTCAAGAACCGGTGCACCTGCTCATTTGCATAAAATATGCGCAGGTGGGTGCGCGGGTGGGCGGGGCCACACGCACGCACAGGTGCTCGGCTGCGGAGCTCGTACTGATGGTCTGAGTTGGATTTTGCTGAAATAATTCTTAATTAAAGTTAATATCAATCAAATGTAACAAACAAAGAGCTGAGTTCTGTAGACAGTCTGAATGAAACCTTAGAAACTTTACTTTAACGGAGCATTTGCACTGAGTTGTGTTTGAAGCACCTGAAGCTGACAGGTTTAACTGTGCAGTGTACTGCGCAGGAACCATGAGAACAGTGCCCCGTTGTGGTCCGCAGTCAGTGGAGCATCACAGCAGTGTGTGCAGAGAATGGACATTATCGGTGTTTGTACAATGACTGATGGTACAGTGTTCATCACAGTATGAACTTCATTTAATTTACTGAACAAAAAGTTAATATGAAAAGCATTGAAAGACAGATTTAAACGATAAAAACAAAAGAAAAAGACTTGCAAGCAACTTTTTAGCCCCAGTTTATATGTCGTTCATTAAACATCTCCTGCAGACCTGTTTTATGTTTATAATTGCTCTACTTTCAATAATAATCTCTATCTCAAATGTTCCTTTCACAAGAAATGTGTTCTTAACGTTTTCCTTTTATATATTTTTGGGGCTTTTTGTGCCTTTATTTTGATAGGACAGGTGATATGCAGCAAGGTTGGAATCGAACCCGAGCCACTGAAGTAAGGACTCAGCCTACATGGGGGCGCGCTCTACCAGGTGATCTACCGTGCAACCCTGTTGTTAAACTTTTAAATGACATCTATCTACTCCTTCCCCTTCATGGAAAATATTTACTTAATTTAATCAGACAGTCTCACTGAGATTAAGATCTCTTTTCCAACAGTGACCTGAGAACAATAGCACACACAATCACACAATAACCACTAATTAATATAACAGGTGCAAGAATCACAGGAAACATCAGATAATAAAGCTTTCAAATCTGCACAGTACCTGAAAACAGTTCTACCAACATTACTACACTGCTGACTTCAAGTTTTCCACCTCACACTTGTATAATAGCATATTGGACCAGGATTGACTTCCAGATTATTTGTGATGTCACAAATCATGCTTGTAGGCCCCGCCTCCTTAAAATCTGCTTTTCAGTGAGCTCAGAGAAACTTTCCACTCTCAGCAGATGAATATGAAAACATCCTTCTAGTGTCCAAATCTGCACAGACATCATTCACACAGCACACTGTAGGGACAGGAAGAGAAACAGTTGAGTGGAGGGGGACTTTAAAGCTGCACCAGGTAACTTTTATTTAACTCTTTGATATATTTGTTAAAAAAATGTCCAGACCTCAGTATTTTTTCACAATAAAAGTCATGAAATACTTTCCATAAGATAACTTTCGTTTGATGTTTGGATGTTTACCCCCAAAGTACTCCCTAACAAATTCAGATGTTTGACCTTGGTATTTCTAAAACCACTGGCAGTCCAGTCCAGTGTGATATATTTGATCTTTTTCCAGGTGTTTCCATGACTGGAATACTAGTCTCTAAATTTCCAGGTTTTCCAGGACTCATGGGAAGCCTGCTGTGTGTCCTCTGGTTGCTGCTCACACTGTGACGACCGGGTCTGAACCTGAACATGCAACCTGCTAATACCTTGACAGGAAACACAAACCTTTAATATTGCCGTGGTGACCCCAGTGTCACCAGCTGCACAGGCTTGTATTAGCATGTGAAAGTCAGCAGAGGAAACGCTTGTATTAGCATGTGAAAGTCAGCAGAGGAAACGCTTCCTGCGTCTGTCTGTCTGTCTGCTGTCTGGCTAAAAAGGCCTTTGACTGACTGAAGCCCTGAGAGACCCCAACAGGCTTTGTGTCGCCCAGCCAGGAAGTGTCTGCTTTCATAAATGGAAACAGGACCAGCAGAAAGGGGGGCAGAGCGGAGGGAGGTTTAAAAAGGCGACATTAAAAAGAAAAGTGGAAGTGATTTCTGATTTGTGTGTGCGATAAGTCTCGTAATCTCACATACACACACTCCTACAACTCCTTGTCTTTAGAGGCGTGGAAACTGATGCATCCAACTGAAGCATACAAGGCTTTAAACCTGTCACACACACACACACACACACACACACACACTCGCACTGTAGTGGAAAACTGGCGCCTGCTTTGTGCCTTGCAGACTGCTCATTAAAGCTCCCATGAAATGACTGATTGTTTTCTGTAGATTTATGTTTTTCTGCATGAAATTACATGTTGTGTCAGGACTTGAAGAATATGTCTGGTGTTATTCTGACATCCCTAACCTGTTTGTGGTACAAAAGTCTACAGTAAACCCGACTGATATATTGGTATCACAACAATATTGGCTTATATGGTATCCGTCGATATGAATTTTTTTAAATTTCTGGTATATAATCAAGAAGAAAAAATGCTTGTGGTAATATATTAGTGTCACTGCAATGGTTATCCAGCAGAGTGCGCTGTGATTTACAATACTGTGGCTAGCACAGAGTAAGAGAAGAAGGAGCTCTCAGTAACCTCAATTAGAGTTAAATTATTTACCATGTTAAAGAACATTTTTAAGCATTAACAATGGAACTCTAATTTTGTGCTGATTCTGGCGCCCCCTGTGGACAAAGGCGGTAGTTGCAGCCATTCACAATAACCAGGTAGACATAGCCAATACTCTCACTGATGGTCTTGTGTCCTTATGTAGGTCATATAAAGGCATCAGCATTAAATCTACTGTTTTATAACCAGTTAAAAACTCCTTATAGTACATTTATAATGTCTATATTCTTTCATAAGGTTATTTGTTTAAGAAAGTAGACTTCAAGCACAATCCACATTCTCTTTTCACTCCAGCTCACATATTCATTATATCAGCCACCATATCGGTAAACAGGGAATTTTTGCTCTGGAAAAACAGTATCCGGCTCAAAAATCCCACATCAGTTAGGCTCTTTCCATTTCCATTATCGTTATAATCGTGAATATCCTCTCATGACTTGACTTGAAAAAGCTGACTTAGCTCGCCAGCATACATTTTTTATATTGATTATATTGATTTTTTTGTTGAACAAGAGGACAAGAGGGAGCCCGTATCTTTCTAGTCATTCCAAAATCCAAATCCTGTCACCATGGCTGAAGGATCAGTTGTTGTATCCCCCACAATAAGTTAAACCGGATGTGTGGACGTAGTTTAGATTCCAAAATACAGCACAGGAAGATGAGGTACCTATATCTGATGCAATACATATATTTCTTAAGGTAACGTGATTCCAGTATTAGTGCCATTTTAAAAGTATGTAGTATATTGTCAGGTTTATGGTGATAATATCGTGTATTGCAATTACTCTGGCCAAGATAATCGTGGCATTACATTTTCATGTTGTCCCATGTTGTTACGTCCTCCTGGATCCACATTCTTCACATTTTACAGTCATTATAATGTGTATAATGAGATTTTGTGGATTTATTCTGTACAATCGACATCTATTGTATGTCTATCTGTCCTTAAAGAGAGGGATCCTCCTCTGTGGTTCTACCTGAGGTTTCTTCCATTTCTTCCCTTTTAAAAGGGACTGACAGAGGTTGAGTGTTGTACACGTAGTAAAACCCCTCGAGGCAAATTGAGATTCTGTCTAGGACTACAGTGATAGTACAAAGCAGGAACCATGAACACAAAAGGTTAATTTATATCTTTAAGTAGTTGCTAACATCCACCCCACCCTCATGAAACACAGCAGACTGTACTCTGTGCAAACTGTACAAGTAGATCAACAAAACATTCACTGTTTGGGATTTCTAGCGTGTCGTTCATGTTAACTCCTGCACATTTTTTTGAAAAGGCAACAAAGCATTTAACATTCAAACATCACTGAGCCAATACTTCCACCTGTTCATGGTCTTATTAATGAATTCATAATTGTGTGTTTGAGTACACAGAAGAGTGAGAAATGAAGAACGTGAACCGAATCTGTGCAGAAGCTGAGAGTTTTTATTTGATTCCAGTTGCCTTCAGATGAGGACTTCAGCATCATCTTCTTCTCACAATCACCAGATAGAAGAAATACATCATTACAAGCTCACAGATAAACCGGTAACCAACAGCCGCTGCAGGTATCCAAGATTTCTGAGGGTGGAATCTGAACCTTTGCTCCATTTAGATTTTCTAATAACCACAACTGGGCAAATGAAATGAGTTGGAATTAAATCTGTTATCTTTGATTAAGACATAAATACTCATGTGCAGTTTGGAGCTAAATGTGTTCTACAGAATACAGTCAGACCGACATATTGGTCAGCCGTCGTTATCTGCCAATATTTGCAGACATATCGGCATCATTTGCACTGATATGAACAGATTTGTTCCGAGTACATAATCCAATGTGGTAATATACTGGTAGACTAGACAACTAGAATCGGTGCATTAAGTATATGTTGGATTATTTAACATGTTCAAGAATATTTAACTTAAATATTCTTTAATAGAGTTAGAAGTTTAAGAATAAAGCCTCCAGGGTACCTTTGCATTGTCAGATCGGATCAGTGAATAATCCACATACAGCACATTCCAACACAAATATTCACTATATCAGCCAGCCCCTATAAAATAATCCTCTGTTACCTCTCGAACTACAGTGGTGACAAAGTCGAGACCTCAAGATAACTGGGAACTGTCCCCTCTCAGCTTCTGTGAATCTGTGTTCATTTCAAATCAAAGGCAAGTTCTTATATAGACTAAAGAAGTATCACATCTTGAAAAAAGGCTAAAACTTCTAACTATCTACACATCAGGGAATTAAAAATGCATAAATATATACACAAAGAGTTTTGTTCAGAACTGATAAATCCACTCTTTGAAAGATTTGACACATTTGAAAGAAGGATAGCTGTCAGAAAAGTTGAAAACTTTAGAATTTGTACAGAATGTAAAGAGCGTCGTCACCAACTTAAAACAGCTTTTGCAGGTTTGTTCATCTGTTGTTTTTGTTTTTTTTAGTGCATCAGGAAACAAACAGGAGATCAGCCAGACAGATATTTGAGTAAAACCTCGTCATTAGATGTAAATTAAATCCATACAAACAAACTGAGCTGGACATCAAAATGATCTCCCATCTTAGTTCCCCTGAGGAACTTCCACTGCTTTTACTTTTATGTTTTTAGACTTAAGATGATGAAATACCTCTTAAGTGAAAGAGCAGATAAACAGAGGATTTAACACTCTTTCTGCGCTGTATTCATTGTGTGTTTGTGTTTGTGTGTGTGTGAACTCGGTGATCTTTGGATAGAGTCCTGCACACTGCCACTGGCGTGCTGCGTTATCTGGGCCGGTGGTTGGCGAGCAGGAAGTCCTTGTCTTTGCAGGTGAGGCAGAGTTTGAGGTTCCTGAGTGAACCGCCGGCGGCGTAAAACGCCCAGATGCCCATCAGGAACAAGATGACGTAGGTGGGAACCAGGCTGGCGACGTACCTGGGGTTCTGGAAGGTCTGCACGAGAAGATGAGAAACAGATATTAACATAGAACATGAGAATGCATTAAAAAATAACCAGCTTTAAGTTCATGTTATTCTCCTGCTTTCCTTTGTTTCTGGATGTGCTGTTGTCTGTATTTATATGGACTTAAAAAAGGTCCAGTGTTTAACATTAAGGAGGATCTCCTGGCAGAAACAGTGAAACCTAAACAAGGTTTAGTATTATGTACAAAAGACTCTAAACTACATAGTCAGAAGGCTATTGTGAATTTTGGTTTCCAGTGGCTTTAACCAACCACCCTCATCGCCCCGACCCTCAACCCTCAACACTCACCAGACAGGAAACGATGAGGTGGCTGATGACGACAGCAGCCACCGCCCACCAGCGCTGCTTCTCACAGGCGTCGAAGAAGACGACGCCCCAGAACATGTGAAGAAGGATGATGGCCATGGTCATGAAGGCTGAAAGAGGAAACAAACTCCACATTATTCCTTAACTTGCCTCATCTACACCAGTAAGTCATTTCCCAGAAAGTGTTCTGACAACCCCCAAGAAAGGAAGTGGGAAGGTTTTACATCAGGTTTGTATGAGTAGAGAGCAAGAGCCGACTCATGCTCGTTGTGACATACACAGAGTCATCCATGTTAGGGTTGGACAAAGACACATACCGGAAAATGGCAAACATACACACTGTAGCTTATAGCTTGAACTTGTCAGTGTCACTGGTACCTGAGGACAGGAAGTAGTGCTGCGGGTCTCCGTGGATCCCCACGGTCCCCGGTCCCACGGAGTCGGCCAGGATGTTCACCACCGAGAACGCTCCACTCATGAAGCCGAAGCCGAGGCCGGACACTGAGACAAAACAACGACAGAGGAGGGTTTTATTCCACTGCTGCATTTTACACCAGAATCTGACTGACCATCAAATATCAGCAGTCACATATCACAGATATAATCGGTACTGGACGTGTCTCACTGAGATAGTTTGTCCACCAGAGAGCACATCTTTTTTTGGACAGCTGAAGATAGACAGGAAAGGGGGTAGCATAATGGACTTGATAGTTTATTTTGCTGGATCTTCGCTGCCTTGTGAATGTCCACATCTGTCAAACTCCAGGCAGCAAGTTTGTAACACTGGTTCCACTGCCTGAGTACCAGTACACCCAATCAAAGTATGAATTTGATCAGAAACATCCGTGCAGTGCCTCTTTACAATGGCCAAATTATCTTAATGAGACTTTTTCAAACTGTTAAATGTCCATATGGAACGTGATCACTGCTTCTTCCTCTGATTTCATCCTCCTGTTCAGCAGTTAGAGAGCTGCAATAACACTTTTTCCAAAGCGCCATGTAACCAGTCAGCACCGAGTATAAAAGCAACAGATAGCGATAGTGCTGACTAACTGTACCGTAGGCCAGCTGCCGTATGGAGATCGGCATGGTTTCCTCCTGACTGAGGGCGAGGAGGCCTTCATTGGCTTTCCTGCAGGAAAACAAACACACACACACACACACACAAATGTTTTAGTCCCTAGTTTCACTGTGAGCTGTAAACAAGAACATCAATAGGAAATATGTATGTCAGTCAGGGGAAGATGATACGAGCTGCAACAATGAACCGTTAACAGAAAAAGGCTGACGGTGGGAAACTGGAACAAACTGGGGCAGATTGAGGCCAGAGCAGACAAACACGCTGGGAAACTACTAACCAGGCAGAGATGGTGGCGAGAGAGCAGAAGTTAGTTTAGTTTGTTGGAAGATGACTCAATGTGTAACATTTTTCTGAGGCTTTGTTGGGTGCCTGCACCAAACAAACATGTTTTCTTACATCCGAACAACAAGATTTGTAGGCCAGGGAAGCTCTTCCACACTACAGTGTCATCTTATTGCACTCGGCCAGACTGCGATTTTGATAATAATTGTGTAGCCCTAGATTTCCCCCAAATTCTTTGACATTTAATGGACATATACCGAAATCTATCCATCAATACTTCTGATAATTTGGCAACAGAAAACAAAAGTATGAGCACGTCTCAGTACTGAGCAACGCGTCAGTCTGTTAGTTTTGTGTGGTGAAAGGCAGCTCATTCATTTCACTGCAGATAACTGATAATCAGACTTTAGTGGCCTCTGGTGGCTGCTGGTGTTCAATAACAAACTGTGTCCCACTTCCAGACTACAACTTAACTCGAAACTGATTAAGTAGTGTGTGACTAAATTAAGTCTTGCATAACTGTTAGTTAGTATATATTATGGACTTCTTCAGTCATGTCAAACCTCTAACAGTAATTATAAACCAATGCAGTGGATGGCTTTGTACATGTGACTTCTTATAGTCAAGTAATAACGGAGACGGTGCCGAGGACGACCGTGTAAAGGCGTCGGACGGCTGTGAACACTGTGGCAGCGACTTACTTCAGCAGCTTGTAGTAAGCGAAGCGGAAGGTTTCCTGCAGCAGGACGGACAGCACCACGCCGAAGATGAGGAGACCTTTCTGCTGCGCCGCGCTGTCCTTATTGCTGATCTGAACAGAGATGAACCACACCAGAGAGGACAGCAGCAGAGACACCAGCCAGAAAAACGCTCTGAGGGGACAAATAACAAAAAACACACACTGTTAGTAAGAAACTATTACTATTAGCAAGAAAAAAACATATTATATTGTTAAGATTTCAGTCCAATAAGTGTCTATTCTATGTATATTTACAGATGTTGCCCTGTTTATGTTTCACGAAACGTTACTGCAGGTAATAGTGGTCAGAAAAAGGCTGTGACATTCTGCCGTACAGTCTAAATAAATGCTTGAAAGTAGGCAATTCCCTCAGAGTATTCACTTTCAACAGGCTGTCCATTTTTGGCACAACACTGGGCTGAAGCTCAGATACAAAGCTTTAAAGCTTACTAACTGAACAAAAACAGTCCTTTCTAATATGATTCAATAGTTCACAATAGTCTCAGTTAGATTTGGTTTAAATAAAGCTATGGAATATTAAATCATCCGCCTTTACTCAACACATCTTTCTTCACATCGAGTGTGTAAAAGCTACAGGTTATGAATGTATTTTCATAAAACAAAAAAGTGAAATTAAAGGTTATATTATCGGTGCCGGCTGAAAGGAAAAACATTGTGCATCCCTAATCTTTATCCCCATCTATGAGAACACATCCTCATTTATTTACTGACTTTATGTTGTATTAACAAACTGAATCTGCAAAAAAAAAAAAAGTTATTAAATACATGAAGTGGAGTAAAAAGTACAATATAATATAAAAATCTTCCAGGACAACACAGAATACTTCCATTATATTTGGTTATTTTAATCCATTTCCACTGGAGAACTAAACTAAATGCTATCTTTAGTTGTAAAGCTTATATCAGAGTTACCGTAACCACAGTGTCTTTGTACATACACGGGTACAGAACAAGCCTTGGAGACTGGAGGACTAAAACACGGACACGTAAAGTATAACAGCGAGTTGTCCGACAATGGAAGCTAACAGAAGTAGCTCGCTAACTAGCCGTCAGCCAGCAAGCTTATATATCCGATAAAACCCGACAGTAGCGTCGGTATCCCGGAGCTACGATGCAGATACGTTCACTAACTCCCCCCCCACGTTGACGAATATCGATCCATTCTCACCCTGCTATGAGGAAAATGACCCTCAGCGGCTCCCGGGCGATGGTAAACAGGAACAGCGCGATGGCCGGGCCGAAGGCGATGAAGGTGCAGCCGAAAAACACCGCCGCCGTCATTTTGTTTGTCCGTTTGGGGGGAAAAACCAGCGACCAGCAGCTGGGACCCGAAGCTCCTCGACTGGTTCCGTTAACCGGTAACTTACAGGTGTTTGTCTCTGAAGCTTAGTAAGAGCTGAGCCCGCTGCGGTTCCGTGGAGGTCCACTTCCCTCTGCCTGCTCCCACCAGCGCGTCACAGGGTTCACATGACGTCAGGCTTCTCACGTGACCGCCGAGGGGAAAAAAACTAAAAACTTTATTGATAAAAAGAATATATATATATATTTATTATTGTATGTTTATGTGTTTATTTCTTGTTTATTTTAAATGAACTAGTAAATATATATATATATTTTTTTAACTTTATTTAACTTTTCCATTTACTCGTATGTTTTTAGCACAGGGGATCCCAATTTTTCTCCCTTAAAGGGCCAAAACTAAAACTTACTGGTGGGCCACAGGCCTAAAGCAAACATCTTTCTTATTGTATGTTAAGATGCAATGAATGAATGACTAATTAGGGATCCTACATATTTATCAATAATTGTTCTCTCAAAGGGAACATAAATTGCATTTATACAACAAACTATTTATCCTCTCTCAATTACCAAAAAATAAAATCTACAAGGCTTTGTTAAAAATTATAATAATAATAATAAGAAGAAGAAGAAGAGATAGATAAGATAAAAACAAAATAAAAAAATAAAATAAATGCAAGATTACAAATCAAGGCATCCTCTCTAAGTGAGACTCCTCTATGCAAATATATATCTTAAAACCTTAATTTTGTCCTTCTTTACACCATGCAACACTACCACCTGCTGTGACCTGTGCAATGTTCCTTATCAGTCACATCTGTATATAAAAAGGTCTATACAGTGTGCATATAACTATTATCTACCTTTTCTATTTTTATTATATCTTGTATTTTTACGTTCTATTTTTTATTTAATGTGTATTTTCTTTCCTTTTGTGTTCTGTCGTATCTGGGGCTGCTGGGATCAATAAAGTCTAATCTTATCTTTTAATAGCCCAGGCTTTTATTTGCATTCAACCTGCCTTTGTACGGGACAGACCTTTATATCAGACAGGGCTTTAATTCCTTTTGCACAAAACCTCCAAATTGTTAATTATAAACATACATACATACACATATATACATATAGGAGCCTCCTTCTACCACTTCTGGAAGATCATGGAAAAAACACAAATCAACAGTAACACAAAAGTGCTGATCCTCTCGGTGGGCCTAAACAACAGGGCTCAGGACCCCCATAACACTTCTATCAAACAACTTAGAACTGTGGTGAACAAAGCTTGCTCGGCCTTCCCTAACGCCCTCATAATCATTCCCATTATTAACCACTCATCACTCCCTATACCAGCAACAGAACAACACAACTTAGCAATAATCAATGATTACATAGTTAGACACTACACACATTTTTCAGCATTCCCGGATCAGGATTTCAAAACACAAGCAGACAACATACAGTGGACCACAGAGACAGCCAGTGGGAATATATATATATATCTCTTGTTGATTGTGGCCTGTGGATTGTTGGTCCACTCCTCTTCAATGGCTGTGCAAAGTTGCTGGATATTGGCAGGACGTGGAACACGCTGTGTATACTCCAATCCAGAGCATCCCAAACATGCTCAATGGGTGACATGTCCGGGGAGTATGCTGGCCATGCAAGAACTACCATGTTTTCAGCTTCCAGGAATTGGGTACAGATCCTTGCAACATGGAGCCGTGCATTATCCTGCTGCAACATGAGGTGATGGTCGTGGATGAATGGCACAACAATGGGCCTCAGGATCTCGTCGCGGTATCTATCTGTATATTCAAAATGCCATCAATAAAATGCACCTGTGTTCGTCGTCCATAACACACGCCTGCCCATACCATAACCCCACCGCCACCATGGGCCACTCGATCCACAACGTTGACATCAGCAAACCGCTCACCCACACGACGCCATACACGCTGTCTGCCATCTGCCCTGTACAGTGAACACCGGGATTCATCCGTGAAGAGAACACCTCTCAAAGTGCCAGACGCCAACGATTGTGAGCATTTGCCCACTCAAGTCGGTTAGGACGATGAACTGCAGTCAGGTCGAGACCCCGATGAGGACGACGAGCATGCAGATGAGCTTCCCTGAGACGGTTCCTGACAGTTTGTGCAGAAATTCTTTGGTTATGCAAACCGATTGTTGCAGCAGCTGTCCGGGTGGCTGGTCTCAGACGATCTTGGAGGTGAAGATGCTGGATGTGGAGGTCCTGGGCTGGTGTGGTTACACGTGGTCTGCGGTTGTGAGGCCGGTTGGATGTACTGCCAAATTCTCTGAAACGCCTTTGGAGACGGCTTATGTTAGAGAAATTAACATTCAATTCACGGGCAACAGCTCTGGTGGACATTCCTGCAGTCAGCTTACCAATGGCACGCTCCCTCAAAACTTGCGACATCTGTGGCATTGTGCTGTTTGATGGAACTGCACATTTCCGAATGGCCTTTTATTGTGGCCAGCATAAGGCACACCTGTGCAATACCCATGCTGTCTGATCAGCATCTTGATATGCCACACACAGATTTGTGAACAATATTTGAGAGAAATAGGCCTTTTGTGTACATAGAGAAAGTCTTGGATCTTTGAGTTCAGCTCGTGATGAATGGGGGCAAAAACAAAAGTGTTGTGTTTATAATTTTGTTCAGTGTACGTAGAACAGAACAGCAGCATTTGACAAGCATGCCAGAAATACACAGTATTGTGTGTATAATATTTCTCTTATTTGTTTATTTTATGCATTTTTACTAATATTTTTGTACTATTAATTGCATTACTTAGTGTCTGATTGCATATTGAATCTGGTCTGTAGCATCATATATTTCACAATTTATCACCATGAAACACACAAAAGCACCACATAATTTATTTATTCTATTATTTGTACAATTTTTCCAACAGTGTGGCTTCACATAATACACATAAATGAAAGATGCTTGTCAACAGCAGAACAACACTCAGGTGTTCATGCTTCCGTCTCGAACATCTTCTTCCTGCCGCCCATCCCGGCCTTGTCCTCGATGTTCTTCCTCCAGTCGCCTGTTTGCTTCTCCTGAGAAACACATGAAATAAATCAAATCAAAGAGAGGAAATAGTTCAGACTCTCTCAATGTTTTGTGTTTGAGGAGCTATGATTTTCAGTCAGCTCTGTTGTTTTAATTGCTTGTTATTAAATCTGAAATGCTCCCTGTTGTTTTTATGTAAATGAATGAGCTAAAGTTTGAGTTTTTCAGAGATCAAACCACAGAATTCAGTTAAAATTAAAATTAAATGTAACTGTGCTGTAATTATCCCTCAGAGTCTTGTTAAAAATCTGAAGCACTCACCTCTTCTTTCACCTCCTTCTTGACCTGCTTCAGGTTGGCTCTCAGGTCCATGGCCACTTTGTGTTTGGAGCCCAGCAGAGCGGCCAGCATGTCGTCGGCCGACATCCGCACCTTCTTCAGGGCCGGCTTCTTAAACTTCCCCTTCAGATCCTGAACCATCAACTTCAGGTCGTTGACCTGACAGAGAAGACAGTGACTCAGATGAGTGTGTGCGTAATTAAACATCTTAAACATCTGTTTAAATGCCATTGGAAGATGCATCCACATTTCTAAAATTACATGTAGCAAAAGAATATTAAAACAATTGGAAGTTCTCTGAGACATGATGGAAATTAGTCTGTTTGTCTCTGAGCTGTTTTGAATTCATTACTGAATTCAATGGGAGTTAAACCTTAATTTAAGAACACACCACTGGGTTCATAATGAAATTAAATGACACTGGTGTTAGCCTTAAAAGGTCCAGTGTGTAACATTTAGGATCTATTTATAGAAATGGAATATAAACCAAACACCAGCTGTAGATAGGGCCTTTTGAGAGTTTTATAGCCACTGTTAGTTTCTCCTAAACACTTCACAGCCCGCTCTCATTCCCAGGTCGTCAAATACAGACGTGAGCGGTGTTCAGTTAGTTGCAATCTGCAACTTCACTGCTAGATGCCACTAAATACTACCCACTGGACCTTTAATTTTCGAAGACGTACCTCCTTGCTGGACTTTGTCGCTTTGATCTCCATGTCGTATCGCTCATCGTCCACCAAATCGATCTGCTTGTGAATTTTCCGGCACAGCTCCTGGTGTTATAGTGGACAGGAAAAGAGGAAAGTGAAGAATGAGTGTTTAATAGAGGCTTTATTCACAAACGTACTAAGCAGAGGATCAAATTTAGCTTTTCTCTTGTGAATTACTTTATAATTATACCATTAATTGGAAAACACCAGCTTGTTTTTGGCCAAGAAAGGCAATCTTACAATATTACCCACTCATTGTGACTACAGCATTATTCAAAAGACAGTAGTGACTTGAGACATAAGAGTTTTTATTATTTTTATTAACATTTAACCAGAATCACAATCTTTCCTAATCTTTTACCAAAGTGCTTCTGTTGCAGGAGTCTGGATGCGAATTCTGGCTGTCCGCCAACCACTTTGTTACATAATTGTAGTGTTTCACAATAGTTGTCTCTGAGCATAATCCAGGCCAGAACCAAAACGTAATTATGAAAAACCATTTAATAATATAAAAACATAATTTCTAGGAGAGAGGGTTGCTCCTGAGGGAAATATCGCTCTCTTCAGCTGATAAATGCTCCACTTTGTTCAGCAGCTGGTCTCTGAATGTGACTGTCATTTGGAGCAGGTAGTGTATAGTGGGTCTATCAGGGCTCATTCACTGACAAACGCTGCCTGCTGTGACTAGAAAGGAGCTTGAAGAGAGCAGTGAGTGGTTTATTAAAACAATACATTTGTCTGAAAGATGCTAAAACAAGGCTGCCCAAAGTGTGGCCTGCGGGGCAAAGTTGGCCCAAGGTAAGGTTTGATTTGGCCCGCCAAACAAACTAACAAAAAAACAATTATTGATAAATATGTAGGATCCCTAATTAGTCATTCATTCATTGCATCTTAACATACAATAAGAAAGATGTTTGCTTTAGGCCTGTGGCCCACCATTAAGTTTTAGTTTTGGCCCTTTAAGGGAGAAAAATTGGGATCCCCTCTGCTAAAAACATATGAGTAAATGGAACTTTATGAATGCAATTACATTCAGAAAACTCTTTGGTTTCCTGCCTTGGGATTACTATCATTATTATTTAGTGG